GGTGGCGGCTGTTCTTTATATTTTAAAAACTTAAATTTTTAGGGTTCTATAAAGCAACTTATTTAACAGATTCCTATTTTTTAATTTTTTATTTATCAATGATGGGAAGAAGGTATATTTGCACACACAATTTAGTAAGTTGTAAGCAAGAGAGAATGATTTTTCTTCAGAATATTTGCTTGGTAGGAATGAAATTGACAAAAAGGAGTCTGTGTCATATGTCTGTTACACAAACTTGAGTCATTCTTTCCCTGTTGTAGCCTTGAATTCTGCTTAGAGTTGACTATTTCAGAAGATTTTCTTGTTTCACTGACATGCCTATGTTGGAATTATGGGCTGGGATCCAAAGAAGAAATGCTATGAATGTACAATGGAGGTTACTGCTGAACAGTGCACGCACTCTTTCATGCACATTCAGTCACAGTGCGTCTGTAGCACTGTAGGCATTATTATTGTTGTTGTTGTTGTTGTTGTTGTTGTTGTTATTTTATTTATACCTTACCCATCTGGCTGGGTTTCCCCAGCCACTCTGGGTGGCTCACAGCGTATATCGGAACATACTAAAACATCAACATTAAAAACTTTCCGGTTCAGGGCTGCCTGCAAATGCTTTTGAAAGTCAACTGTTGGAGCGGGTTGTCAGTTAAAACATAATTATCTCAGTTTAAAAAACCATAGTTTATCGGACTGAGAAAAATCCATTTATCTGTTCACTTATCTAGTGTGCCTTAATTCAATATTTCCAGAGGTGGGAGAAACCACAGTTTCTTGTGCTGTCTGTACAGGTGATTCCTATGGCCCAGGTTATCAAACCATGATGGATGAATCACAAAGTAGGGATTACTTAAACCAGCTTTTCTTAACTTGGTTCAGTGTTTAAAATTAGCCATGTGTCAGGGGTGTTTTGTGACTGGTGCGGGTCCAGTTGTGACCATGTGGAGATCTCTGGATGCCAGTTTGGCGGCTGACATCTCCACCTGGCTGGCCCCTCCAGCTTTCTTAAGCAGGTAAGCAGAAGAGCTTATTTATTGCATTTATATCCCACCTTTTTCTCCAAGGTGTACTTGGTTCACTCCCTCCTCATTTATTCCCTACAGTGACCCCGTGATGTAGGTTAAGAGGCTGTGACTGGCCCAGGGTCACCCAGTGAGCTTCATGACTGAGTGGTGATTTGAACCCTGATCTTCAAGGTGCTAGTCTGACACTCTCACCACTATACCATAGTGGCTTCCTAGAGTACTTCTGCTATGGGGCAGCTATATAAATTAAGTAGGTAAATAAATATGGAGAAAGCAAAATATCACTTACAGAATGATCTGAAATATTTTCATTGAAGCTTGAATTTGTTTTATTTGGATTGCTTTATTTGATGTTTTAATGTGTTGTAAACCACTGAGTTTTTCCCCTTTAAAATATGAAAAATAATAATAACAGTAATAAATCTTATTTGGGGGGTGGGGGGTGCCTAGACATTCTGCTGTGGTGACTTCAACCTAGTTTTAAGGTGCCATTTGGCAATTAGCTTATATATCTGAGTTTCTAACATTGTGTGGTACCCCTCTAGTTGGTTGGGAATTAAAACTCCATTAGCCCCAGGAAGCAAGGCCAATGGTCATTGGATGATGGGAATTGTAGTCCAAATATCTGGAAGGCAGCATTTTGGGTTAAACAATAGCTTCCTTGGTTTCAAAGTCACAGACTACGGTTAAATAAAGCCTGTAAATATTTAAATAAGGGAGGGGGAGCATGTGAGCACAAATCTTGTCCCCAGTTACACAAATTGTGGATCATTGGACTGAGATGGTAACATCTGAACCAAACTGGAAAGGAAAGGGCATGCGTAAAGGTGTTTCCTGGGCCCAGGGCATCTGTTCACATTGAGATTAACAGCTATTAATAAGTCATAGTACACAGTTTATTTTAAAATATGTACTGAAACCTGTCAGTCTTCCTTTCAGGGCACCTAACAATGGATAATAAGAATAACAATGTGCAATCAAAATCAAGAAGAAGCTGCATACAAACAGAATACTTACCTGTTGTTAAAGGCTTTGAGCCACTTAGTTATCAGCTGAAAGGAACAACTGAAAGGAAATTTCCAGTGTTAACATTTGTGTCCAAAGTGTGTATGTTAATTATTTGATGGAAGGCTGTTCCAAAATGTATTTTTGATAACTTGGGTGAGAAAATAAGTTAAACCTGTCCTTGAGCTGCTTGTGAAACTTTCCACATCCACCCAAGCACTCTAACCTGTTTGTGAACATTTTAAGAACTGGTTAGGGTAGATCAAATGATCAGTAGGTCGACAAGCTTGTTTAGCTGAAACTCTCCATATATATATAAAATAGCAGCTGGGTGAAGATGGGCAGGCTGAAATGTGTTCCCATTCTTTTTCCAGGGTGTTAACTTCCTGTTTTATTATGAAGAACTGGTTGAATATTTCTACTCTCCAGGGTTAGGAAATAGGTTTGAAAATTGTTGTTCATGCACTGTAGAATACTGCATTCTACAGAAGGACTTAAGTTCCTAAACTAGTTTGTGTGTTGAGAGTGTTTGTTTTTTTGGGCAAAGTTTCAGAGCAGCCACTTTGTTTGCAGTATAACACATGCCAGCATGCCTTGGGTTTTATGATTTCTCAGTTGTAAGAGTCCAAAATATCCTCCCTCTCTGAAGCAGGAAGTAGGCATCCCTTAGCTATTCCAGGTGCTTCCCATTCATTTGCAATCTGATGAGGCCAAAACTGGCCTCTTTGCAACTGGAACTTTGAAACAATAAAAATAAAATAAAAGATCAGCTGCTGCCAAGGAACATCCCTTGCCATAACGTCTAGTAAAACCAGGGATGGGGTCAAGGTTGTACGGGCTCTCAGCCAAAGTAGTTACCTTGTGGGCAGTACTGATCACTGTCAAGTGTCTTCCAGCTGCCATTTTTATTTCTCCCCCCACCCCAAGTCCTAGTCCCCATTCCCCCCCCCAGATAATGTATGTTAATAACATGGCTGCCACTACAAAAACACATAGTGACCAGGAAACTGAAAGTTTTAAAAAGGAGGAACCAAGGCAGATATTAGCAATGCCAGCACCTATTATGAAAGGGGAGGAGGTAGCTGTGTTTTTAATCACCATTTTTAACATAATGCACAAGTATTTTGGAATGTTTAGTCCTTCCCAGAGTGCAAGAAGATGATGAGCTTAAATGTGGAAGGGAGCTTGTGCCCACAGCTAAGTCCACTGACTCAAAACTTTGTGACTCATCTAATGTTGGGATTGGACTTCCATATGTTGAAAGAATGGTTTCTTCTTTAATCCAAGGCTGTAGCAGTGTGAAAAACAGCACTTTGCTGGAGTGATAATGGTGTGAGCCCCTCTATCATAGCTGCAGGTTGTATATGTGTGTAAATAAACTATATATCATACAGATACCACGTTTCGAGGCTGGGGTGGCATGTAACAACATCATTGATTATTGTTAATGTTTGTTTTGAGGTTATCTTTTTTGAGCTGTGGGAGAAAGGTCACTTTTTAAATAAATTCTAGCTAAAAGTTTCAAGTTTAGAGGCCACTTCTGAATATCATATACTGGGAATGCAGAGTCTTAGTTTTGAGAAGACATGCACACACTAAAAGGAGGAGATGATGGGCAGACATTGTATTAATGTTGCAATCACCACTATTATCAAATATTATAGAGTTGGTGTTGCACATTTGGCTAGAAGGCAGGGAAGGTGGCTGCTGCAGACAGGGAAGAGGTGAATTGCATTTCCATCACAGCACATCAGGAAGACCAAAATATGTATTTTAAAGGTGGAAAGGGGTGTGATTTCAAAGTCAAAGAAGCTTAGAGTGGTTATTTATAGCATGTCAATGTGCAGAGAAAAACAACATTCACTTTTAGGGGAAAGTATGCAAAATGCTTAACAAATTTATGATGCAATCTTCTGTTATGCACACTTCCACCCTGTGGAAATTGTTTTTAAAGGTGTGTGCCTTCAGGTATAGAAATACCTGTGCATCTCCAGATAAGAAAATATGATGGACTGTGTGGAAGTTTGGAAGTATTAATTGAGGGAAAGAGCCAAGACACAGCATGCAGAAATATCCTGATAAGGGCTTCTTACGCATGGATACTCTTGCTCAAATTCACACATAGATACATTGGTTCTTGTGTGAGATCCTGTGCCCTTTGTCACTGTTGTTGTATTTGATTGATACTAATTGTATTTTGCTTTTGCTTTTTAGTTTGCATTTTTGTATTTTATTCTTGTGAGTCATGTTTGATTGAAAAGTGACATAAAAAGAAACTTTAACCTAATGTGGCATTATATGATCTGTGCAGATCATATAATTTATTTTCTCTTGAGTTAAGTTCAGTTGACGCATTTTACCTACTGTGATTTTTAACAGTCACCTTCTGAGGGCATCTTTATAGCAGAAGTTTTATTAAAAGGGCCAAGATGTCATTGGCTCAGCTACCAAACCACCTAGGGAAAGTAAATTTCATAGTGACAGGAGGGCTGGGGAAATCTAATGTAGAGACCCTGTTAAAGGATCCATCACTTTATGAGGACTGTTCATGACTGTTCACCCCTAAAGCTTGCTGGGTGACCTTCGACCAGTCATGGTCTCTCAGCCTAACCTACCTCACAGATTTGTTGTGAGGATAAAATGGAGAGGGAGGAGAATTGTGTATGCCACTTTGAGCTTATTGAAGGAAAGGTGAGATATAATCAATAAATTGTAAAACAAGTAAAGGGGCTGAGAGAGTTACTGCCTTGCGGAGGAAGTCATTAGTTTTTTATTTACAATTTTGATTACCAGTAGGGACAGTGTATTTATCCTTTTGGGCTAAATTGTTTTCGTTTGTTACTTTTCTCTGCAATGTATAAATAATATAATGTATTGTAGTTGGCTAGTAAGAGCTGCAGTGATTTTGAAATCTCTTGGTGTGCTGGCGTGATGCAATACGGTGTAACTTGACTAAATGTACCTGTTCCTCCTCAGATCCAGACATTTAATGTTGAAGCACCATGCCAGACTGTGGATGATTTAACCAATGGAGTCGTGATGGCCCAAGTCCTGCAAAAGATGTAAGAGAACACTTTTTAAAAATCATTGTGAATGTGTTTACTTACTCAATAAGTAACTTCCCCCTTGCCCCTGACAAGTATCCACCTAATAAGAACTTGCTATGTTATACTCTGTTCTTAAGTGTTCTTACTGCTCAACAATAAGTTTTGTTTAACAACAAAACATTAATTACTTTTATTAATGAATGTAATTGTTGGTGAATCAAGCTTTTGTTTTCAAACACAGAAAACAATTCTGTGCATGAGCTGCGTGCTTCCCTTTGCATGAGCAAGTAAACCATAGCTTAGTGTAACATCCAAACCTGGTTTTCCTTGACCCAGGAAACCACAATTGACAATCTAACAGAAAACTGTAGTTCAAGACTGTTAAAGTGAAACAAACCACAATGCCAGATTGATCTGGTATGTTAAACTATCCCTATTGTGATTTGTTAATCCACTCTCATGAAGGGAGGCATTTCTGCACAGTATAGTTTACTAACCCAGGCTTTTATGGTTTAGCATTATGTGCAAACATGGCCAGTTCTTAGTAGTAGGTTTTTTTTTTAATTAAAAAAAATATTTATGGACTGTGACTAATGTACTGCATATGATGTATTGCAAGATAGCATATTTAACTAAAGAATAAGGATCTCCACCCAGAAGAGCATATTTTGACAGTCGTGTTGGCAATAGAGGAAGGGAATGGGGGAATGGATGTTTAATGTATTTGGTGGGCTTTTATATAGAGCATACACAATAAAAAATAAAACTGCTTGTTCAGTAAATTGCACTGTAGTGAAAGAAATAGCAGAGCTGGTGTGACTAAGAGTTCAGTTAATGACGTCTCCATATTGCTATTCTTCATAAGTAGCATTGTTAATGACCTTGTTTATTGAAAACTGTCTAAATTACCCTTTCACCCCCCACTCTGTGTTAGCCTTTCAGTGTCATGACTCTGTCAAGGCAGTGCTGGGGGAAGTGCTGTTGCTTACATAAGATGCATTCTGTTAGAAACAGAGTGGCTCTGTTTCTTGCACTTCTACATCTAGCATCTTTCAAGGACAATTTGAAGATGACTAATCCCCCCCTGCCCCCAGTACTTGGTTTTCTGTTGAGGGTAATATTCACGAAAAGCATTTAGAATATAATAGTGTCCTACACCTCTCTGTCACTGTTCCACCTTTTCCTCCCAAACAGCTCTCCCTTTATCTGGGAGAGGTATAGTCTGAAACCAGAGGGAGAGAAAAGTAACAGCTTATGTTTGGTGGGCCTACAACCTTTCATCTGCAAAAGAGGCCTACAAAAAGACCCTTTCCCTTGAACTGTGAAGGGAAACAGCACAGATTTCTCTTGCATTAAGGATGAAGAACTTTCTTTGTGACGCCAGCAGTTGCTACAGTAATCCCTACTTTCGGTGTGGATCTGTATTTAGGAATCAACATACGTAAAGAAAGAAAATCGTTCATAAAAAATTATTTAAAAAAAGAAAGAGACATTGACTTCCTGGTGGGGATTGGTTGTACTGGGCTTTTCTCTGAATAATGTGACAGTGTGGGTGGACTACAGTTTAATGGGACTGAAAAAAGGAGTATGCAGCTGCAGTAAAGCAAAGATGAAGCAGAAGAAATTGGCCCGGAGAGTGAAGTGAAGTGGGGGTATGCCAAATAAAGACAGATCAAAGCTATCAAGGAAAATAAGTTGATTTGTTCCTTTACCCATTCTTTTGGCTATATCTCAAGTTGGATCTACATTTAATAATAATAATAATAAATTTTATTTATATCCCGCCCTCCCCAGCCGAAGCCGGGCTCAGGGCGGCTAACAACAATAAAACAGTACAAAAGTACAGCATAAACAACACTCTAAAATCATTCATTATAAAATTAATTAATTTTATTCATTCATTATAAAATTAATTAATTTCCATAGGCATTCCCACCATTTGGTAGACATCTTGCTAGTTAATATATGGCATAAAACATTTGTGCTCATTTTGTGACACTTTTACGTCAGAAGTGCAGAGAACTTACTCACAGAAATTGTGAATGTGCTTTCTCCACAACATGCCAGAAATGGAATGGAAACTAGCTCATTCACTGCTTGAACTAACCAAACCAGTTTGTTGGGGTTTTGTTACCGGCATTTCATCTGTACTCTCTATTTCAACCATCCTGTTATTCACCACTGAGAATCAAGCTGTACTTCAGCAGGTTTAACTTGCATCTTCAAAGATTTTGTGCTACTAATATCATAACTCTCAAATTCCTACAAATTAAAGAGTGGCGTGTGAAATGAGATGAACTTCCTCTTCAGTGGAAACAAGTTAAGAATATTGAATTATGAGATAAACAAGCCCTAGAGCCTTGGCTTAATGATGGGGGTGGGGGTGGAGGGAGGATCATAGTCTCTGAGGATTCCATCACACTCACCAGGCTTCCTGTCCTGTTGAACTCCAATTTTGAAAATTAAATCTTATCCCCCTCACCCAAATCAAGCCTTTCCTGCTTCCCACCATTCTCCTACCTGACTTCTTTTAGATGTTCTCAAAATGATGGTTGTGGTCCATGAGGAGCCTTTTTGAGGCAATTCAGAGTCTTATGACTGCCATGACAACTGTAGAGCTGTCCCAACATATCATTGGCTAATCACATTTTTGCATATCACACTTTGGATCTCATGCTCTAGAGCAGAAAGATGGTGATCTATGTTTGAAGAGTAATGTGTACAGTCTGAACCAGAAAAGAGTGCACAGGGCAATGAGGTCAGTACAACTCTGACCTTCACGCTGCTACAGTATACAAACATATCTGCAGATTTAAGGTTGTATTTTTCTCACGTGCATTCCATATAAACTGCAGGTATAAGCTCCTAATGGATCTACATTCATCTATTCTAGAAATGAGAGTGACAGACAGAGCTGTAGCACTGATATCAGGGTGGGGGACCTTTGGCCTTCCAGATGTTGTTGAGCTACAGCTCCTGTTATCCCTGACTGGTGCCCATGCTGGCTGGTTCCCCACCCTTGACTTATATGGCAGCTCTTTATATTCCCATGTGACTGACTTAAATAGGAGCATACAAATGAGTACTCATCAGTCCTTTTGACACTGCTAACATCGTTGGCTCCTAATTCCTTGTTTGTTCTGCAAGACAATTCTTAGTCAGTTGCAGTAGATGTGAGACCGTAAGCCTTTAATATAAATTTTAACATTAATTAATTATCATTACAACCTATGACCTATGTACTTAGGGGAAGTCAGTTAACAGAAGCATTATATTTAACTGTGAATGTTCCAATTTGTGTAATTTGAGAGTAATGTCAGAAGTTTCCCTTTCAGATAATAAGAGTATATACTAAATTCATTTTTGAAGATGGATCTGCCAGACCAATTTCTAAGAGACTTCTAGGCATAGAGAATATTCTGGATGAATGTTTTACCAGAAATGCTTCATAACAGATTATTTGGTCTCTAGACAATGGATTTTGTATTTCTTAGTTATTCTTAATTGCAGCCTGGCACAAAGCTATACTTGATACAATAATTCATTCATTGTGAGTTACATTAATCTCATAGTAGGAACTTCCATAACTTTGAAGAATAGATGTTTTTAGAACAAAGAAAACAAACAGCAAAAACTGAATTTGAATCCTCCCACAGCATAATGAAACAGAAAAATACAGAAGATGTTTTCAGAGCATTTTAAAAAATGTAAGCAAAAAAGTTCCCCTCCCAACAATGATTTTAAAAATTGTGATTTAAAAACATTATGAAGTGCTATACTATATCCAAATTACTCTTCCTTCTGCTCCTCCAAACAGGTATCACAGAAAAGACTTAGTCAAGAGGCAGGTGAGACTGTTCAAGTGAAGGAGAGTGTCCAAGGGATTGACATGCTTCTAGATCAGTAGCATAATTTGCTATTTCAAAATCAAGCAGTTCGGGGGGTGGGGGGACCTGCAAGCGTAAAAAGGCATGACAGCAGGAAGGTAGGTGTTAGACCAGAAATTCCAAATCTGTGTGGCGGAGTGCACTATCACGCTATGGGAAAGAAATTAAAGATGGAATACATGTGGTGCTGTTGCACTCACAGAAGGGTCTTTTATAGAATCTGGTTGGAAGGGACCCTGGGAATCATCTAGTCCAGAGCTTTCCAAAATTTTCATGCTGGAGACACATTTTTTGGACATTTATCATTTTGCAACACAGTAATTCAGTTTTACTAGCAAACTAGAGGTTAAACTAACCCCTTTTCAGCCTTGAGAGGAGTGTAGGGAACGTTCGCACGACACACCTACACACGACACACAGTTTGGAAAGCTCTGATCTAGTCCAACCCCCTGCAATGCAGGAATACGCAGTTGTCCCATATGGGGATCAAACTTGCAACCTTGGCATTATCAGCACCACACTCTACCCAACCGAGCTATCCTGGTGGGTGCCGCTTCTGATGGAAGAGGAGGGAATTCAGGCATGAAGGTAAATCAGGAAATTCACCTCCCCTCCTCTTCCATTAGGAGAACTGTCCTCCAGATGAAAAAATCTTCTGTGAGCACAAAGTATCCAGTTGAATTCCACCCTGAATATTTTAAGGGCCTGTAGCCCAAAGTACCCAGCTACAGCAAGGGCTTCTTGCTTCAACTCTTAGCTCTTTCTAGTTAGGAGGCACACCCTGATCAATGATTTGTGCAGAAAAAACTGTGAGTAGGCTCCTCTGTGGGTAAGTAGTTCTTAGTGGTGTTATACACACTGAAAGTAAATTTTGCAGGTGTGAGTGAAGTGTAGGACTGATTTTTACATCTGAAAAAGGATGCCTCTGCTTCCAAAAGCTCAGGAAACACACTGTTAGAAACCTTCATAAAGAAAGCGAAGGTGAGTTATCTAGCAATAAAGTATGAACAGGCAAAGGAACCAAAAATGTTTCTGAGTTGTAATTCCGTAGCAGATCTAGTCAGCCAGTGTGTGGATTTTCAAATAAAATGAGAGTTAGTTACAAAAACAAGAACGAAACAAACCCCACAAGTCAGTAAATACAAGTAAAATAAACATGCTCAGTTAAAGCACCCTAGGGCACCAGAAAACTTTGTGAAGCAACTATTTCAGAAAACTGCAGTAGAGGACTTTAGGAAATGTTTCATTCATTCAGTTATATAAGTTGTCAATCATGTCAGTTTGGCTTTCCTCCAATGAAATGGTGTGTGCTAGAACACACCCAATATTTCCCTTCAACTGTGCATTGGTAATTGTGGGCAAGGAAGCTGATCTTGTAATTGAGGAATTCTAGGACTTCATAGAAACATGAGAGGGCTTAATAGGTGGTTAATGAAAGCAAGAAAATCTTCAAATAAAGTAGCTTTTTTAAAAAAGAGGGGCTGCAAAAACATTGTGATAAGTAATATAGGAACCATAAGACATTAATTAATGTTCTAGAACTTTTGGATGAAAGTAAACATATAACATATAATTGAGACATACAACTCGCAAATGTCAATAATAATAATACACTTATGAAAGCTTTGTTGGAGGTGACAATCGTTATATCTATTCCAGACAGCCAAATAGAAATGAAATGAATAATATTATTAAGTAATAGCCTAATATTTTATTTAAAAACTATAGATGATGGTAAGAGACATTGCTAACTATTATTCTGCTTTTGTTTTTTCAGTGATCCAACGTACTTTGATGAAAACTGGTTAAACAGAATCAAAACTGAAGTAGGGGACAACTGGAGACTGAAGGTATTTTCATAGTTTAACTCTGATTTTAACTTTCAATACACAAAGTATTGCAGTTATACGTGTGTGTGCATTTTATGAATTTTATGTTGCCTTTTCCAGAGTTTCAGAGTAGGTTATGGAATAATACTGATTTTACCTAACCGGTCCCGTCAGCAAAAGCCTTGCTGAAGGACTTCTGCTTGCACAGTGGGACCCTCTGCACCCAACTGACATGAGATCAAGCCAAAATAAATATATAGGGTGGTATTCAGTGACGTTTTATGCAGTGTAAACCCCTTGAAATTAATGAAAAGGACTGAGCTAGGTCCATTAATTTCAGTAGGCCAGCTTTGAGTAAAAATTAGTTCAATATCATCCATAATACCGAAATCTTTCTTCTTATGTATAGGTGTGGGTTTTTTTACCCCAATGTACCACTCCCTACTTAATGCTGATTCAGAAGTGAAGTCTTAATGGAACAAAGATTCTGAATTCTTTTGGGAGATCATGAGTTGAGAGGAAAGTAACATGGTAAAGGGGGTTCTGTTGGATCACATGGAAACTAAGAGACCCTCAGCTAATATCCTCTGAACTTTCAATGTTTGCATGAAATCAGAGACTTTCATTCCTAATAGCTTTATTGACTTTGTTCATCAATCATGCTGGCATCGTATTGGCCCTGGGGTACCTTTCCTTATGGTGTACATTCTAGCGAAGTTTTTGTCATTGTGGTTTTGAATAACCCCCAAGGATTCTGGAGAGATTTGACCCTCTTGACTTTTCTTTTCAGCTTCCTTTTTACCAATCCTTCATTTTCAGGAAGTTTCCTTTTTTGAAATAAAACGTGATTGCGTGGAACTTTCTTGGCAATTGTCCACTTACATATATGTTAAATTTGATAGCACTGTGGTCACGGCTCCCAGTCAGTTCAACAGCCAAAACACTCTTCTCTTACTACCCCAAAATGTACAGCTGGCCCCAAGTTGCCAGCCTGGAGGCAGGAACATGCATGGAGGAAGTGGAGGTTGTGGTTTCATGACTTGCTTGGTGGGGATGGCCTGTCCCACTGCTCTCCACTCCTTCTTCCACGTGCCATATTCATCATACCAGTTGCTGACGAGGAGTCTACACTACAGGCCAAAAGACTGAATTAATCCTCTTTATGTTTGCAGTTCTTGTTTGCAGAAGGCAAAGGCTTAAAATTCTTTCCATTGGAGTCTTTTTCAGTCTAACCTGCTGATCTGGAGGTAAAATGGGAGCTTTTGCCTTGAATCCCAGATTCCTCTTGGCTAGTAAAAATCAGAGGGGAGGAACTGCTACACCTTACTCTCATTATTCCACATTTGTTGATTTTCAAGTCTCAAGAGCTTTTGCTGAAATCTTTGCTTCTTGATGGTACTGTTGTCAGGGGGAAATGAAATATTACGAATTACCTTTTTAAATTTGATTGAGTATAATCTGGCCTTGTGGTGATTCATGGATGAGAAAAACAGAATCCTTGACAGTTCTTGTTTACTTGCACAAATGGCTTTGTCCTTGTAAGACTTATGAATGTAAAAAGTTGAGAGACAATTGCATTGATGGTGGAAGTACTTTTTTCTACCCATCTGTTCCCAAATGAAAATGTTCTAGATGCTTGCATTCCTTATGTATACAGAAGATTAAAAACTTGCCCCTCTTACATATCTGAGCAGGTAGAAGATGGGAAATTTCACAGGAAAGTTCAAGAGAATTGTATGGAATTTTCTACACATGAATAAATTTTCTAAACAGTTAAGGTGCTGCTGCTGCATTTTGATCCCTGGAAGACATTTGAAAACAAGAGACCCATAGCCAAAATATCTGTAATGATTTCAGGGTTGAGGCAACTTGAACACTTCTCCATGCATTAGGAGCCGCTCCATACGGGGGCAATGTTCTCATGAAGACGTATCAAAGATTTGCATTCGGCCAGGGGTCTTACAGCTTTCCATATTTCTTAACAGTAGGATACACAGTAGAATCATGGAAGCAGTATTGTCAGTGGGTCACCCTAGGTTGTCTAAATCTGTCTCGGAATTCACACTGCAGGCTTAGGCAGCAGCATTGAAACCCAAGCTGCATTATTTCTTATGTACACAGTTGCTTGCAAGGAACGGTTGGGTGGCTTTCCCTTTGGGGGAAATGGCAGAGAACAAAAACTAAGATGTTTCAGTACAGTCAAAATGTTCTGCCTGCGACTATTTGAAATGATACTTCAGTATTTCAAAAATAAGATATGGTTGATGGTAATATGGAGCAACCAATAGCATGCCAACAGAAGAGTAGAAGATAAACTGCCCCAATGACTGCTTTGTGCGCCATCAGGGACATTAAATACTTTGCTCTTCTTGGGTGGAATTCTGTTATGATCTTCTGGCACTCAAGACTGCATCCCATATTGGTACCATTTACCCCTCAACCCCTTGGGTTCCATTTAGAAATAACTTGTCTAGATAATTGAGGGTTGTTGTTTTTTTTAAAGAAGCATAGCTCCTTTTAAAGAAAGATAGCTCCATCAGTAGAGCATGAGACTCTTAATCTCAGAGTTGTGGGTTTGAGCCCCACATTGGGCAAGAGATTCCTGTATTGCAGGAGGTTGGACTAGATGACAATCATAGTCCCTTCCAACTCTACAATTCTGTGTTCTATGATCTATCATCTGACAAAGCAAGCATTGTGCATGATGATCCAGATATACATTTCTGATAATCAGTTTATAGAATTTTCTCAGTAAATTATTTCTTCCCATTGAACTGCGCTCCTTAAATTCTGTCTAATTCAAAAAGTTTGGTAATGAATCTTAACTTCTTCCTGTTTACACTATAATTTATCTGTCCAATAAAGTTTTTCACTTCAAGTATTATGCTGATTTGCACAATCATTTCAAGCATTTTATTGCAGTACTGGCACATGGTATTGAATCCATTCTCGTGGGTCCTGATTCTTGCCTAGGGTATAATTTTTGGCATTGCCCGTTTAAAGAATTTGAGAACGAGAGCAAGCCTAAGTATTGATTTTTATTGGCTAATGAGGAAATCTAAATTATTTGGGAGCTTGTGGTCTTGATAACCTGAAAACAAGATGTCAAAATGCCATCCAGCTTTTTAAATTTAATGGCATTTTGACATCTTGCTATTAACTTAAAAGGACCACAAGATCCAAAGAGTTTCAGAAGTAGGGGTAGAAAAATGAACATACTTGTTTCAAGCCTGTGTAATGGCTCTGTTGTGTGTAAGAACTTGTTTCTGTCCTCCCCACCCCCAACTCCTGTTGCGTTGATGCTGCTTTTGAAGCTCTGCCAATTTGGACAAGCAGATACTGCCAAGAAAGGGCTCAGAAACCCTGCTGTGTGCACAGTGTTCCCAGTGTGGCCCAAAAAGAAATCATTATATTTGAGAAGCACCATGGGGGTATAAGGCTGAGCCCCCAAACTCATTGGTGTAGGTAGTTGCTATATCTATTTGCTTTCCCGTCCCTTTGAATATGGGCAGAGAAAATCTATAAATGAGAAATAAAATTAATTGCAAAATCTTGATTTGATGATTGGCTGTTTTAGGCAAAAATGGCTTTTGGCTAGAAAGATTAATTCTTGTAGACAGCAATGTAAGATTGTGCTTCGGTGTGGCCTACTCTCACAGTTTCTCAGTATGCAATTTTTATCCTTCCTTTTTTAAAAGGTGAGCAATCTGAAGAAAATTTTAAAAGGAATTTTGGATTACAATCATGAGGTAAGGTCTTTTGTTTGCTTATACAAACTGATTTTTGCACTTCATTCTCCTTTCAACTTGTTATGCTTCATTTTCATTATTCTGTTTCTGTAACAGGTAAATAAGGATTACTAAAGATAAAAGTTCTTTAATTCAGAAAACTGATCCTTTATAAATATTTTAGATGGCCCTTTGACAATCTTTTCCCAAATTTTTAATTTATAGAAAAGGAATTGCATACACTCATTCCCTCCCCCCCCTGTATGCTGTCCATTGTTTATGTACCTCCTATTAAGCTGATGAATGCTTCCTCACATAGCTTCTTTTTCTTAGAGCAATTAAAATAGATACTTTTGGAAATCTCTTGATAAAACCACAAAGGCTAAGCTTTATTATCTCAGCAATAGCTATGCCTTCCCATCAGTAGCAGAATTCAAATTTATTTTGGAAAGATAGGGAACATTAAGTGTTCAGCATTAATTGATTTTATAGACAGCTTTGTAGTATTAATAAAAAAGTCCTTAATGCAATTCTAAATATATCCATTGGCGAGCCTCTCACTTCAGAAATTTTTTTTGTTTCTCTTTGTGAAAATAGAAAGCAGAATCTACAACAAATACATTTAAGAACATTTAAGTATGCCACTATTTTGGACAAATAATAATAATTACCCATGTAAGTTGCTTTGAGTTGCCATGGCAAAAAAGCAACCACTAAATGTAACAACAACAAATATTTATGGAGCTACGTGTTTGAACGTTGGTGGCTCAAGATACTTGTTAAAAGTCAGCTGTAGCTTAGAAGAGATACTGTGCTGTTTACATAAGAGAAGACTGTTCTCACCAAAAGAGTGGACTAGTTGGTTCAATGTGCATGTGCGTCTAGACCAAATGAGCCGCCCAACGTCATGGGTCATATACCACAGCATGACTAAAATTAAATTTTCCCAGCATCTTGGCAAAGTGGGTTGCTGGGTGAAATTAGCAGGCAAGGGAAGGGTTTTCTTGTTCCCGCCTTCTGTTTTTCTCCACTATAGATAAACTCCTTCTGTACTGTTGGTTAGTACCTTTTTGGCTCAGACCTGCATCTGAAGATCTAGTGTCCTTGAGATATGGAGGCTTGCCAAGTTCAAGAGATGTGCCCTCTCCCTATACTATTCACCATGTCTGCATCTTTGTATTTTCACAGATTTTGGGGCAACAGATCAATGATTTTATCCTTCCTGATGTCAACTTGATTGGGGAGCATTCGGAAGTTGCTGAGCTTGGAAGAATGCTTCAACTTATTTTGGGCTGTGCTGTAAACTGTGAACAAAAACAAGGTCAGTTAAACTTTGGTGGAAAGGGTGCATCATTCAAACTGGACACACAAGCAACTTTCTTGTTTTGTTTAACAATATTTATACATTACCTAATAAAAACAAAAACCCTCTTAAGTGGTTTACATAAAGTAACATAAAATATCTGTTAGAAAATATCAATAAAATTAACAGACTTCAAAAACATGTAGACATAATAAAATGATAAAAATATAGATAAAATCAACAGGTTGTTGTTTTTTTTAAAAAAGCATAATAAAACTTCATGTTTGAGTAGGCTTGCCTAAGCAGCAAGGTTTTCAGCAAGCATTGAAAACCATTCTTCTGCCTCATTTATGTTTATAAACAAAAAACTTATCTTTACAATATGATAGATGGAAGCTTTGAATACTGCAGGAAGCACAGAGCTATTTATCCTTCTGATTGTTGTAAGTATGGATGATTACGTGCTCAAATTTCTCTCTTACAGAGTATATCCAGACCATCATGATGATGGAGGAGTCTGTTCAACATGTTGTCATGACAGCCATTCAGGAGGTAAGGAGTTGGATGGTGGTAAATGGAAGGCTGAGACAGCAGTTTGTTACAACTGCTTCTTTCAGTTTAGCAGAAAGAAGTAATTTAACAGAAAAGGGCATGGTATGTAAAAATGAGAAATATTGTCACCCTCTGATAGGCAAAATAAAATTTCTAATGTATATTGAATATTTAATAAACTGTTCCACTTTTCTTTAAATCTAGAAGATATAACCTTCTGGATACCAATACTAGGTTTCCTTCTTGTCTTTCCTTCCCTGTGGTTCCCACATCAATTCAGAACTACTAGTTTAGTTTGCAGTAGAAGATTTGGCGATTGAACTTCATTTCCAGTAAGGGTAACTAGGCTCACTGAGTCTGTAATTCAGTGCACACATACCTGGAAGTAAATCCCACTGAATTCTATGGGACTTTCTTCTGAGTAGGTATGCATAGGATTACGCTGTGGTAATCATAAAATGTTATTTGAACATTGTTCTTAAAACTGGATGACTAGTTTTCAGGTTAATTGTAGTTGGATTTGATAGCACTATTTGCAGTATGCTAGCATAAAGGTGAATTATGAGTAATTAGTAGTATTGAAATAATAGGAAAACCAATGATCCACTTGAACCAAAGTTAAGCTCTTTTAAATCCCCTTAATTTAAGAGAGCATGTTTAAAAATTTGTTTAAATTGTTACCACTGAAATTAATAGGGATGAAAAGTGTTTAGATCTTGGTTGGATTGTGTCCCAGATTTCAGTTTAGCAGCTTAAGAAATGCTAGAAACGGATATGCTCTAATTGAAGGGAAGTCATTTCAACTTTCTGTTTTAATGTTGCAAGTGGTGCAATTGAGAATGATGTAAATGTTGATTTGGATACTTCATAGGGCGGTGTGTTAGGCAATGTTTTCTTTGAACCCTGCTGCTTCTGAATGATCGTTCGATTTATGAATTTAAGTGGAGTTATTTTTTCAACCACTGCTGCGTATTGGTAGCTCTGTATATGGCATGAAACAGGATTCATAACTGGTTGGTCAGCACTGAGCAGGTTTTTCTGGGAGGGGCAGGTAATTTTATTGAATGTCTTACCAGCCTTAAAGCAAACTAGTCCATATGAAACAGCTACATTCCTACTAAAACATCATCCGACATGCTTAGAGAAAATGAACAGCTTAGTAAGCTGCCCTGTGACTCCTGGAGTCAAAAGAAGGACTCTAGGAGTGCTTCCACACTTGCAGAAAAGGGCTCTACTCTAGTGCACTGCTTTTCTGCAATTACCGTATTTTTCGCCCCATAGGACGCACCTAGTTTTTTGGGGGGAAATAAAGAAAAAAAAATATTTCCCCCCCAGGTGCGGGGCTGGGGCGGGGGAAGCCCAAGCTTCCCCCGACCCCAGCCCCCAGAACAGGCTGCTATCCGCAAGCCGTGGGAGCCACAGCTAGCGGAGCGCTGTGCTAAGCCCGAAGCTTGGGGCGTGCTGAGCTCAGCGCGCCCCAAGCTTCTGGGTGCCGGCAAGGTCTCCGCTAGCCGTGGGAGAGCTGCGCGACTTCGTGCGGCTCTCCCACGGCTAGCGGAGCGCTGCGCTAAGCCCGAAGCTTGGGGCGAGCTGAGCTCAGCGCGTCCCAAGCTTCTGGGTGCAGGCAAGCTCTCCGCTAGCCGTGGGAGAGCTGTGTCTCCCACGGCTAGCGGATAGCTTCCTGAAGCCTGGAGAGCGAGAGGGGTCGGTGTGCACCGACCCCCCTCGCTCTCCAGGCTTCAGCGAAAGCCTGCATTCGCCCCATAGGACGCATACACATTTCCCCTTCATTTTTGGAGGGGGAAAAGTGCGTGTTATAGGGCGAAAAATACGGTAGCTGAAAGTAGAATTTCAGCAAAGGTTTGACATAAAAATTAATATTCCACTGTATATTCCAGCAGTGCCCTTCCCTATCCTTCTGAAATGTCTGCTTGCAGGCTCCATTCAACAAAGGTCCTTTCAAATGCCAGTTGAAAAGTTTCCTGTTTGCAAGTTTCAGCCTTTGTTTTTCACTTCCTCTTGATCACATCTGGAAATTAGTTATGAGTAGACTTTGATTTGCACCTTGAATAGTCTCTCTGAATTGCCCCAGTGTCAGTTTCTCCTGCCAGGGTTTGTGTGGCTTTATTGATTGATTTCCTAACATTTTTCTTCATACTGTTTTGCCACTAAAAATTAATAAATTGTGAGAGGAAACAGTATATAAATCAAATCAGTAATTAAAACCTTCTACCTTTTCACAAGGAAAAAAACCATCATTGGAGTAATTTCAAGAGGGTTTTCATCATTAATCTCCAAGCCCAGAGCATGGAATAGTATAAAAGAGGGAAATTGCAAAGAGGAAGGGTGGAATTCATTGTAGCGCTAAGTGTCTTGCAAAGGATGGCAATTTCAAAGAAAACTGCATGGAAGCAGTCTAGGTACTATGAAGCTAAATCACCTTGGCCCTGAAGAGAGCATTCACTAATTATTCACTAACTAGTTTTACTGGCTCTGGCTTTTGTCCAGCATGAGTGCAATGTTGATAACAAGCACATGCATAACAGGTGAGGGAAAGTCGGTGTATTGCACTTTATAGCAGGAGTGGAGAATCTGTGGTTCTCTAGAAGTTGGACTGCATTACCCATAATCCCTATTGGCCATGCCGTCTAGGGCTGATGGCTTTTCTCCAACAATGTCTGGAGGGTCACAGGTTCCCCATCTCTTCTTTATAGCACTTGAGGTTCTTCTGCAGTCAACAGGGAAGGTCCTAGAACCATTCTGGTGTAGACCAGTATGCTTACTTTTCAACATTGTGTTTTTAAATTGTGCTTTAAGATGCTCATTCCTCTAGACCCCAGAATTTAAAATGTTTGGAACTTTCTGGGATCCAGAAAATCTAGGGAAAGCCTTAAGGTGAAGAAAGAAGGCAGACACAATTCCATAAACTAATGAATATTATTATTATTATTATTATTATTATTATTATTATTATTATTAAAACACACACTTGAAAGTATATTGAGCAGGAAAAGCAGAGACCATTGCTGTGATGAAAAGCTTTATGCCATACCTGAAACTCATCAGGCATCACATTTTCTAGATTGCTTCAATAAATGACAAGCAACAAATGGCAAACAAATAACAATGGATCATGCGTGAGTCCCTCAGACAAAATTTGTATGTGTCTAGACTAGAAATCTAGGTGTAATTCAGCCACTTATTTGAATATTGCACAAAATGCCAAGTAATATCCTTGATGGTAATGTATATAGTAAAGTATAATATTTATATTAAAAATATACTACTAAATATACTACTCCTCAAAGAAGTGAACTTTCATGCCATTTGTAAGGCATTGGGTAGAATCCTTAGTCTGTTGATGGGGTTGTAAGTCTTTTCCTTCACCCTTTATGGTAACAGAGTATCCTGAACCTTGGGGAGGTGCTTTTGTTCAAACATCTAGATAGGGACTGAGGGCCATGGCACACCTCAAAAGGTGGTGTTCTTGTTAAGTTGCCCCTATTTGATGTGTGTCATAGGGGCTATCCTTTACTCAGGAGCGACCCCAGTTGAGCAGCCAGCAGGTGGGCTGGCTGGTTTAGGAAGTACCCAATGCCTGAGCCAAAATCTGACCTCACATCTATAGTCAATTTAAGTTGTGTCCTGTTTTTATTCCAAGATGGTGTATTGTGCTTCTTCCCCTTCATGGCACACAATTAATATTAATATTAAAACTACAATACTGCTCAGAGAAGTGAATTTCCTGCCACTGGCACACTTCATTCATGTGGTGACCTCAGCTTAGTTTAAAATGCACGTGATCTCCAACAATAACAATGTCTTATATACATCTTCATCTGTTACAGACCTGTCCTGATCATAAATACTAAGGTTCTGTTTGCTTCTGCAGTTTTTCATACAACCCGGTCCTAATGTTCATTATATCCCATGAACTGGCACTGTATGAGCTGTGGCCCAGGTGCTCATCTTGCAAAATCAAAGGGGGGGAAATACATCCAAGCATCCTAGCCTTCCATTTTCCCCTTTATCCTTTACCATTGGAGCTGGTCATTTTTGTGCGTGGGCGCTTTTACACATACCCATTCACATACTGAGTTGTCCAACTGCATCTGCTAGCAGAAGCTGACAACCTGGCTCTTCCACAACCTTGGATATGGTCTGATTTATGATCATGCCTCAAGGTAATCTCTGCTTTTGATCACGACACAGCATAAAACTAAGAACGTGAATAAGGGCATACAGTTGCAGGCCCAGTTAGGAAATCTCGGTGTTGATAATAAAACAAAAGAAAACTCCTTGCCCATTCTGTTCTAGGAGTGAGAAGTGTTCTGTCTGGTAAATGTACAGTACAAAGATAACTTTGGAATAGCAAGGGACTATAAAGTAACAAGGGATGTGGCAGGCTCAGACACATAGACACAGCCTAACGAAAAGGTCTCTTCCCCGCACCCAAACCCCCTCTCCAAGCAATGATGCAAAAGAGTATCTATTCTTGTGAAATCAACTAGTAAAAGTAAGTTATTTTCCTGATTGCTTGATTCTGACTTTCTTTTTTGGGTATATATCTACAAACCCCAAAGTTTCTGAACATTTTAGACTGCCCTGTTTATTAAACGAATAAAAATAAATCTTTTGCTTTTTCTAATCCAGTGTAATCTAATTGCAGTTGATGAGTAAAGAATCTCCAGTCTCTGCTGGAAATGATGCTTACGTTGATCTTGACCGTCAGGTACCTAATGCCAGATGTTTTTTTCTTTGTTTTTATTAGTGGAACTCAGTATGCAATTTTCTTGGCATATTGTAAATGAGCTACAGCTTGGGGGTTTTTTGGGGTTTTTTTTGTTTTGCTTTTTTGAGTTTGTATCTTTTAAAAAAAATCAAAGTAAGCAGCATAAAACAAATCTGAATCTAATTGTATATAAGCATTATGTGTAGAATGCTGGATGTGAGCCATTTTATTTATAGAATATGGGTGAGCGCTGCAACAATTTTAGAAGGAATTGGTAGCTCAGTTAGTAGAGCACATCCTTCGCATGCAGAATGTCCCAGATTCAATCTGGGATGATTCCACTTTAAAGAGGATCAAGTATCAGGTAAAAAGAAAGGCCTCTGCCTGATACACTTTTAGACTAGATAGACAAGTTGTGTGACCTGATGTAAAGTGGCTTGGTATGTTCCTAAATAACCCAGCACACTGTCTCTGCTAGTAAGGATAGGGGTCTATGCAGGTTTTACCTTTAATGTCTATTCCTTGTGTTTTGTTTCCCAGTCTTTTGTGTTGTGTGAAAAAGAGTTAAAGCAAACAATATTCATTTCATGCAACTATAAAGAAAAGTGGTTTTTTAAAAGCTTTATTAACTTTGCATGGTAATGTATTTCTGTAGTTTTCTTAATGTACAGATCGTAGGGCTCAGTGTCAATATGTAAAATACTTCTATGTCTTGTTTACATATAATTAGTGGTCTAACCATGATAGTAGTTGCCCTTTTAAGATGCTGTAACTATGCAAGTTGTTACAGTGGTGCATTGTAATTCCAAAAAATCGTTTGTGTATACGTCTGGTGCTTTCAGACATTTCTCTGCAGCATCTCATAGCCCAAAAGAAGCAAGGCTTTGTCAGTTTTTTTTGCCTTTCTGTGGGAGATTTTGCGGAGAAATGATTAAAAAATAAAACTAAGCTGTGCCTTGCATGCCTAGTTTCTTTTACTTGTACATGAATGACTTCTTTGGATCACAGCCTTAGAAAATTATTGCATCATAATCTTTTTAGCAAATGGAAATATATTGTGTTTTTAAAAATACAGTTGAAGAAAACAACAGAAGAACTAAATGAAGCCTTAGCAACCAAAGAAGAAATTTCCCAGAGATGCCATGAACTTGATATGCAGGTAAGCAGACTATTGCACAGTAAATGTAAAATAAGATTTTCAACATTATAAATCTCAACCTGTAGGAAATAAAATATTTTTGTATAACATGTTACAGATATAATTGTATATTTAAAGTGCATTTCATGATTGTGTGTCTTGATTTGAGCATGGTCAATTATGATTTGGCATGGAGTGACTGGGGCAACCCTGTCAGATGGGTGGTATATAAATAATAAAATTATTATTGTTGGCTTTACATGAAGCAGACTCAAGCTTGTGTGCTCACATCCCACTTCCCTTGTGCTCTCCCTGACTTCTCCTTTCATAGCAAACCAGTCTGCTCAGTTTAGGTATTGCAGCAAATCATTCTCTGTTGCAAAAGAAGAAGTTGGGGAGGAGGGAATATGTAATCTGAACCGTGTCTGTGGTGTCCTCATCTGTCCACCCATTACTAGTAGCTTACAGTCCATACCAGTGAATATATTGTAGCCAACTAAGTTTCGTTCAGAGTAGACACACTTAAAATAATGGACCTATGCTAGTTATGTTCATTATTTTCAGTGCTTCTACTCAGAGTATGACTAACATTGGATACAACCATATATATTGTTGGTTCACTTGTATTTGAAGTTGCATTTACTTTCCTTAATGATAAAAGAATTTATCTATGCTCTTCCTGCCTTTGTAAGGCACTATTATTAGTTTTCTTCCTTCATACTCCATTGGTTGTCCCATAGTTGAACTGTTTCAACCCCTGTTTGAGTTGCTAAGTGGGCATAGAGTTATCTATTTCAACCCCTGTTTGAGTTGCTAAGTGGGCATAGAGTTATCTTTGGTTTATGCTATGAGAATTACACACATGTACCTCAAAACGATTTCCACCTGATTTTATTGTTAAATAGGTAGTTTGGTCCTGCACCTCTACGTTACTTTTTAAGACTTACTAGCGGCGCCATCATTTGCTTGTAGCTGTACATTTGTCTGTTGTTGTGTTTTGGTAATAGGTTGCTACACTGCAAGAAGAGAAGAGTAGTTTGCTAGCAGAGAACCAGGTCTTGATGGAACGCCTAAATCAGTCTGATTCCATAGAAGATCCCAACAGCCCAGCGGGCCGTAGACATCTGCAGCTACAGACACAGTTAGAGCAACTCCAAGAGGAAACTTTCAGGTAAGAATTGCATGGTGGTGCAAAGTCGCAGCAGCCACCATGTACTGGAAGATAATGAATTCAGTCCAACTGTATTAACTTGTTCAGTTATATTTTAATAGCTTCACATTAGGTCATGAGTGGGGAATGTTTTTGGCCTGGCAAGCCAGATCACTGTCTGTCCTCACCTCCCATTCACTGGCTTTGACAGGTGGGTGGGACGATCCACCTTTGAACCATCTGATATCCCACCACCTAAAGTCCTCTGCACAAGGGACTTATTGTCAGTGTTTGTTAAAAAACAACAACAAAGGGTTCTGACCTCCCTTTGTTGCCTCTGCCTGGTCCTCGGACCCTTGTCGGCATAAAAGAGTCCACGAGAAGAGTATCCTTGCAGAGTACTTTCTGCTTTTATTCTTAAAAGTCTTTCTGCAAAAGCGACTGGCCAACTGTACACATCAACACTACCAGCTTTCACTAACCAACCAACCCACCAACAAACTAACATTTCTCACTCTATATATACAACCTGGTGCTGGCCGCTGACTCATGCTGACCCAGCTTTTTAAGCATTAAAGAAACAGCGGCCATTTTAGCTGTGACACTTATGAAATAGGGAACACAATGGTTTTTCTTCTTTCATTTGTTTTAGATCACAGATCATGAAAACTTCCACAGTGGCACATAATTTTGACAACGAAAGCAATTGAAATGTTCACTAAAAGCTTACTATGAATGTTGCATTGAGAACTAGCACAATTTCACTTTCTAAACTGAAGAAATTAAAGTTGATCAGAAATTCACTTGTATTCCCTCCCATTTGTTAGATTAGGGTGGGCAACCTTCAGACTACAGGCCTAATTAGGTCCAGCGCAGTCCTGATTTCTCCTGCAACCTTCTCCAAACCATACCCACCTGTCTCAGACCTGGCATTATTATGTAATTTGTTGAAAGGTAAAGGGCAGGTGGAGGAGGCACAGCTTCCAGTGCATAGTGGGGAGCCGTAAAATACACTTCTGATTGTACCTTGGCAGGGGAGGCTTGCTGAGAGCAAGAGAGCTGGGATAGACCACTACTGATCTCCCTGTGGGAAGTTCTGTAGCCAGTTGATTGCAGCAGAAAAGTTTATTGGGCTTGGCTGCACTACTGAATTCCCCATGGGACCGATTCTTGAAGGACCTTGCAAAGACAGAGCAGGACACTTTGACAGCCCCTTGCTCCTTGCAAAGAGTCCTGCTCAGCTCTTTGAAGCTCCAGTAATCAGTGGCATTTCAAAGCACCGTGCAGGGCTCTTTGCAAGGAGTGCCCCACCCACCTCTCATCTCTTCTCTGGCAGGGTGAAGGGGTAGGTAAGGATCTGGCCTGCTGACCAGCTACAGTTCCCTACTCCTGTGCTAGATGGAAGTTTATCAGCTGGATGTGGGCCACAGAGCAAGGCCCCATTATCTCTTTCCTCACTTTAAAGAAAGAAAACTATTTTAAATGCCTGCATGTGAGAGAAAGAAATTCCACACTTTCATGTTATGCTGCTCTATTTCAATTTTGTGTGTAGCTTGGCCAAATGTACTGTGTAACTGTGAAGTTTTTACTACAAGATGGCAGTTCCTGATGCAAATAGATCAGTTTATATGGCAAAATATATTTTGGGTTGTGAGGTCACTGGAGGATAGAGTTTGAATGAGGCAACTCTGGCATACTATTTTTGGATTTTCAGCCACTGTAATCTAAGTTTCTTTTATTAAAGAAACAAACAACTCAGTTGTGTCCTATGTTTCTTTGTTTTCAGGTTGCAAAAGAGGAAAATTTGAATCCTGCTTAGGAGCTGCTAAGCATTTTGTGTGTGTTGCCTTGTTTATTTGTTTATTCAAAAGAAATCTGTTGTGGTTTACAGATTAGAAGCAGCAAAGGATGATTATCGAATTCGTTGTGAAGAGTTGGAAAAGGAAATTGTAGACTTGCGGCAACAAAATGAAGAATTAACAAACCTGGCTGAAGAAGCTCAGTCTCTGAAGGACGAAATGGATGTATTAAGGTAAGCCAGTTCTCTGCCCATAAGAATGCGTGTTTCTTCATGGGGCTGATTCTCAAGAACAAAGTTCAGTGATACATTCTATACACAGCTTTCTAAAGGATATACATTGCCGGATCTGAATAGGCCACACTAGCTTCCTGTCCATTACTGAGAATTCAGTGTGCTGGTTTTAAACTTTAAAGCCCTAAATGGCTCAGGAACAGCCTACCTAACAGCTTGCCTCTGTCTGTAGAAGAAGAAGAGTTTGGATTTGATATCCCGCTTTATCACTACCCAAAGGAATCTCAAAGCGGCTAACATTCTCGTTTCCCTTCCTCCCCCACAACAAACACTCTGTGAGTTGAGTGGGGCTGAGAGACTTCAGAGAAGTGTGACTAGCCCAAGGTCACCCAGCAGCTGCATGTGGAGGAGCGGAGACATGAACCCGGTTCCCCAGATTACGAGTCTATCGCTCTTAACCACTACACCACACTGGCTGTATGACTCCCTCAACATTTAAGATCTGCCTCAATGTCCTCCCAGCATCTGAACTAAGGCTGGTGGTGTGATAACTGAGACAGGGCATATTCAGATGTGTCTTTTGCTTCTAGAATTCCCAGAGAGATTGCCTGGTGCAATCATTTCCCTCCTTTTCCACCAGGTGAAAATATCTTTGTTTGCCCCTTTCTTTTTGATTGCTTGATTTTATATTATGCTGGAATTCTGTTGTTATTTTGTAGGATGCTTATTTTTTTAAATAATGCTTTCTAAGAGCTTTGGCCGAGCAGCAGCTAATAAACTCTTACATTTAAAACACATTCAGTAAAGGTTTTCCACCTATGGAATCTGTGCAACATCCCTCCCTCCAGGCATTCATCTGACAAAGTGGACAAGTTAGAAGGCCAGGTGGAATCATACAAAAAGAAGTTGGAAGATCTTGGAGATCTACGGCGGCAAGTGAAGCTCTTGGAGGAGAAGAACACAATGTACATGCAAAACACTGTCAGCTTAGAAGAAGAGTTGAGGAAAGCCAATGCAGCCCGCAGTCAGCTGGAAACATACAAGAGACAGGTGAGCACAGGAGGGAGTGAAATTGGAGCCACTACATTGCCCCTCACTTGTAAATCGCTTTATGCCAGTCACCTTACAATTTCTTCTGTTCCTCAGCCAAGCCAGTGACCAAAAAAATCCCTCATGCAGTTTTTCACAGAAATGCTTTAAAACACTATTCCAAATTTCATAAAATCCATATGATATTTTGGATTGAGAGTTGGACTTGGACTAGGGATGATTAGGTTTATATTCCCACAGCTACAAAACTCACTTGGCGACTTCTATTTTTAAAGGATCAAGTCTTAGAAGTGAACTTAGAAATAGTGGTGAATTTGTTAACAAGTAAAAACTAGAAGAAAAGCAATCCCTGTCATTAACAGACGTGTTTGATAGAATCTGGTCAACTATAATTATGATTAAAATGGCACATTTTAGATGAGTGTGTAGTTTTTCAAACGACTGTCATTATTTATAATGTTTTGAGATTATAAACATAAATATAAAATATAATACCTTTTGTTGTGATTATATTCTTTTGTACAAACTTTTTCAGTTGCCTCAATATTTTAATTTTTTTTAAAAGTAAAATGGGGAAGGGAGTTAAAATGGGTTATTTATAGGGCACTCGGGGCCCATGGTCCAAAAAAAGGCTTCCAATTTGCCACATTTTGGTTTAGTTTTATCCTTCGTTGCAAAATCATCCACCTGATATTTCTCCATGTATCTGAGGAAACAACAGCTTTGTCTTTCTTAAGAGTCCCTGATAGGGCAGAACAAATATTGCATTTATTTTATATATCTGGTATAATAACCAGAAAACCAAGGCATACTCTGAGACAGTGTGTTGAAGAGAGTGAATTGAGATTCAGCTGCATTAACATAGCTGTGTTATGGAGTAAGTTGTGAGATATCAGTAGCAGTCTGCTTACATCTTTGGGTAATTAATTCTGCAGGAGACAGTAGCTGGACACCAGTTTCATTTCCATTAATACTTGCTTCTCCGTATCTACTGATATTACCACCAGTAAAACAACAGATTGAGTAGTAATTGTATTTATCTCAGTTTAGCAATTTCAGTGTTTGAAAATGGAAGGCAGCTATGATTGCCATTGAGTGAAAATCGACCATTGATACATCTCCCTTATCAGCTGGTTCGTTTCAATGAATCATAGTAAAGTTTACCAGTTTAGGGTGCGATATAAAGCTAATTGCACTTAACTGAAATCAGAAGCAAAATTTTCTGAACTTGTCGTTACTGCACCCGAGGAAGATTGCAGCGGGGAGTGCACAAGTCCAGGACTCACCTGGGCTCATTCTTGTAACAATAAACATTTTTTTATTGTTGCAAATGAACGTGCCATTGGCTCTTACGATGATTCATACATTTTTGTGTTATTGGTGATGTGACCCCTTCTTGCTCTTGCAGGTAGTTGAACTCCAGAATAGATTGTCTGAAGAATCCAAGAAAGCAGACAAATTAGAATTTGAGTACAAGATGCTGAAAGAAAAAGTAGACAGTCTGCAAAAAGAAAAAGATGTATGTATCTAAATGTTGCTTTTTCATCCTTGATAGAAGCAACTTTATTAACTCTTATCTCTTAAAAGAGTTGGTTTTTGATGTTGTCCCCTTATAAATCCTAGGTTAAATGTCTTTTTCTGTGCTGTAATGTAGTAGATTTCCGGAGTGCTTCTAAAAGCCTCTTCCAGCTCTTCTATTGGTTTCCTGCCTTCTTTATCTTTGTCTACCTTCTTTGACCTCCTCTCCCACTCTAAGTCTCCATGACAGTTCCTAGTAACTTCTTTTAACTACTGCAACTGATCATGTTGTGTCACTTTCTGCGTGGTTTTTCTACAAGGCTCCATCGCTGTTTCACACGTCAGTTCATATGTAATGCCAAAACATGGTTTACCCTATGTCCATGGGTTGAGCTTGCATGTTGTTCCCTCTCTCACTCCACAGTTTATTTGTGTGTTTAGAGGGCCTCTGGAAGCCATGGTTTGCCGTAAACCAAATAACTTAGCAGTTCAGACAGGGATTGGGACGAAAGAGCATTGTGAGCACAGGGCTCTTTCTTGTTGGCATAAAACCTTAGCTTGGAGTTACATGTCAACCAACCCATTTTCATCTGTGGTTTTAGGTTTATGCAAATAATTCCCAGATCTACTTTCTCATACCTGACTTTTTGTCTTCCGTGTGATTGTTTGACGTACGATGTTTCCTTCTGGATGTGGGTGTCTCCCATCTCAGATTTAATGTGGTGAAAATTGAAATGTTCACTGTCTGCCTTAATCTTTCCCTATCCTATGCTTTTCCATCACTGTTTGTGATGCATTTATCTTTCTTGTTTACCAGAACTATACTTAGTTAGCTCATCTCTGCATTCTTTTTGACACACTTTCAGGCAATGCCCCAGAGCTGACATTTTCTCCTGCCACTTTCACTATCCTTTAAAAACTTCAGAATACCTTTCACAAAACATCCTACCACTAAGGTCATTGTACTCTTCTATTTAAATCTGCTTCTATACTTCGATTCTCTGTTGACAAAGTGCATAAAATAAACTTGAAAAAGCTTTCAGTGTGCGGGGAGAAAATGGATTTGGCTGTAACACCAGAGCCAGCTCAGCTGTCATCAACACTACTTTTCCCTTCTTCAGATGATATACATGAGTAGTTGCACAACCTTAGGTAGAAAAACCCTTATTTCATTAACTAGAGCAGGCTCTGTGGAGAAAGGGAGGTTTGTCTGTACATCAACATCTTGCTCTTAAGTCTACTCGTTAAAAACCCGGGTCACTTTCCATCTTCATCTCTTCAGCTTGGCACAAGTTTACCCTTTCCTGCTGCACAAATTTTCTCCCAACATCTGTGTTCGTTGCTTTTCCTCCCTGCTAATGTCTGTCTCGTCCTCGCCTTCCCTATGCTTGGAGGCACCTCTCTGCCTCTCCAGCCTAATGCTGTCTCTCCCACAATTGCAACTGCTATGTCAAAGCCTTATCTTGGTTCTTGCTTCATCGTTGTCTGCTTCCTAGGTAAAAATTAAATCTCTTTTCAGCGTATTTCAGCATGATTCCTTTTTTGTTCTTTATTGTTGAGGGCCCTGCTGCCACCATAGTGTAGGCCTGACTGGGCCATTTCTGAACCTACATACCATTCATACATTGAAAACATAAAACGTATATTAATTTCAGGTTCTAAAGGGTCTAGCTTTTTACATTCAAATACATTACTAAGTATATGTTAGAGCACTGAGATGTGGCTGAAAATGGCAGCCCCTTGCCAAGTCTCTTCCCCAGCCCTTCAGCCCTCCCTCCACTAACAATTAGTTCAACTTGTCTGGCCCTGACGCTGTTATGTTGTGCATTTTGCTGCATCACTCCATTTCATAGGTTGACAGTGGGCAAGGAAATGCACATTATAATGATGTTGGAACACTGACAAAAATTGAACTAGTTGCTATGGAACTCTTGGTTTTGGCAACAACCGCTCATTCAATGTAAAAGAGGGTTTGACTGGAGGTGGTGGACTGTTGGGACAGTGTGTGCAAACATTCAGTTACTATATAGCAGGGGGAGGTCTTTGTCTTCTTTCTGTTTAGTAGATGGATACGGCCAGCTCTAAACTGCTAGGCACACAGGCATTATTGCTCTGGGGGTCACAAGGAGTTAATGCCTTTCTGCTTTAAAGCAATGCTGCTGATGTCCCCCCAAAAGTGGCATGGGGAATATATCAGATACTTCTTCACTGCATTAGCTTGCCTGTTTTCCTTCCCCATAACTTTCTGGAATTGCTAATACAATTTTCCAGTTAGTGCAAGGAACTATTTGACAGTTGGCACTGGCATTTTTCCTCTGCTGTTCAAAGCCCTGCATGATGTTGATGGGATGAGATTCCACAAGTCTGTGGAGTCTGGATATATTTACCTACTGCATAATAGGCCCTTTCAGAAGACAAACTAGCAGATATTTCATTTAATTTCTTTTAGTTTTGCTTTGAAGTTCTTCACATGGAAGACTTTTTTTGGATACATAGATGATTAAAATCCTGACATGCAATGGTAGCCATTTTAGCAGTGCTTCATGAGTTGACTTGTAGAATTGTCACATATTTATCTATGTTTTTCTTTTTATGTAGCGGTTAAGAACGGAGAGAGATTCCCTGAAAGAAACCATTGAAGAGATTCGATGTGTACAAGCACAAGAGGGGCAGCTTACTACTTCAGGTAAAGAAAATCAAGATTATGAGATTTCACCTAAAACATCATGTAGAGAGTGTGGTGTGTGAAATACAAGGTTTTGTTGTGGCATTTCAGGGAATAGGTTGGTGCTGTTATTCATGAGTATATTTTAATAATCTGTGTGCCCCAAGTTAGTATCCTTTGCTGGGTCTCTTTTCCATTAATATTCCTTTATTGCTCTTCCCACATTTTGGTTTATATTGCATGGAATAAATAAATTGGTTGACGTTGCCAGAGAAGAGGGTCATTTGCTTTATGATCCTAGGGTGTAAGAGTAGGTTCCTTCCATATGGAAGATAAAACATGCCGGGAGGGAGGGAGAGACTTCAGATGTTATAAATAAACTGTTTTTTTCAGAGCACTTGAATGCTAGAGAATTGGAGGATCAGGCTGTTGTTTCTCACAATATCATGAAAATCTCACAGTGGTTTGCTTCATGGGTCATAAAAGGTGTAACAATCTATTGAAATATAGCTCATTTGCCTGTTCACCTGGAGCAATCCTGCAAGGGTGCATGCAGATTCAGCAATTTGAGCTCAAAATGCCTTAATTCGGAATTCTTGTCAAGCACCTGAGTTTCATTAATCAAAATTAAGTTATAGATTATATCAGTTACATTTTAAGTCTTTCTATTGTAGCATTTGAAATAATTTATTTCTGTCACATCCTAGATTAGCCCTACATGATCTAAGCATTTTCTTTTTCACTCTTTAAAATAGGATTGTTGCCCCTGGGAGGTCAGGAATCTTCTGACAGTTTAGCAGCTGAAATTAGTACCCCTGAAATCAAGTAAGTCTGAATTATACCGTCCTCTTTATGTCAGGGTGTATAGGTATGCATTGTATTTCATTAATGTTTTCATTAGTAGTAAGAGAAGCTGTTGTTATCAGTCTCCACTCAGTTTATAATGTTCCCTCCCCCCAATGTTTGGTAAGGCAGTTCTTAAAATACTGTTCTTTCTGTGTTTATATTACTGATGTGTTCTTCTGAGTCCCATTGCTGAATTTCTAATCCTGGCTCTCATCTTGTTTATTCAAGGGAAAAACTCATTCGGCTTCAACATGAAAACAAGATACTAAAGTTGAACCAAGAAGGATCTGATAATGAAAAAATTGCCTTGTTACAGAGCCTTCTGGATGATGCTAATCTCCGAAAGAATGAATTGGAGACTGAGAACAGGTAAGAAAGGGCTGTTTTCCCTTCAAAATGGGGCCATGTTCCTCTTTTCTTTTCTTCAGTTCTACTTGCCCTGTGACAAAGGTTATGGGCTCTAATAGCTTTATCTTTCACTGATCATATGACATGACAAAAGTTCTGTTTCTGCAGTGAATTCCACAGTATTTTAAGGGGAGATGCATGTACTCATGGTAAACATGATAATATTTAAAAGGAAGAAGAATGTACTTTTTGAAGAAGGCCATTGTGTCTGCAGATATTTGGTAAACACACTTACAAGCCACAGCTGAGCCCGGGATATATTTATTGCATGATTGAAGATCTTTGTGTGCCCCCTTCATATGCTGCTGTGTTAATCATGGGAGACACTTATCGCATACTGTGTACTGTGGTAATGCATTCCCTAAATCTGTACAAAATGCAAAAAGACCCATGTTTGAAGTGTAGGTCTTAGGGAAGTCTTATGACACACGCTGTATGTTTTTAAAGGTAGCTCTAAAATTCTTCAGGCTTGAAGACCCAGTTTCTCCTTTCTTTTCTCCATTCCACAAAAGATCATACTCTCTGGTGAAATTATGCTTCTAAACTGGGGCTCTAGGAAGTCTTCTAGCCACAAGCTTTATCCCTGGTGGTTCAAAGGCATGCCCTGCCGAGCTCTGCTTTCTTGCAGTCTGAGACAATGGGATTCTGGAAAAGTTTCAATGTCAGAGGGATTTTTTAATCTGTGTTAATATTTTCTTATTGATTTTCCTTTGGAAGCAGCTTGCAAGGTGCTGTATTCAGCAAGAGATGGCAATCAATATTGTTCTTTTAGCTGCCCTTTAATTCATCACACTATAAAGTTTGTTTAGAAAGGCCCTATTATTGTCAGTTCCCCACTTGGTTGGAATGACAGAGCGGGTCTTTTCTGTTGCCATGCCCTGACTTTGGAATTCTCTGCCGACACAGGTTTGTTTTGCTGCCTCCTTTTTGGCCTGCCACCTTAGCGTTAAGGCCTTTGGCCTTGTTATAATTACTTGTCTATTAGATTTTTATTGCTGCTATGTTTAACTTCTTCAATTGCTACCTTGCTATTTTTCACATGTTTTATGATTTCTATTAGCTACCTTGAAATGCACAAGGAAAGGTGAGGCTATCAGTGTGTTTAAAAATAATACTTTGTGCCACTTGTTCAAATGCTGTATGAATTGCACACTGAATTGTAAACAAAATTGGGTGACTATGGTTTTTTGTTTTAAGGAGAATAAATAAGACTTAATAGTTGTGTCTGAGAAGAAAGTGATGTTTTTCTTCTTATTATTTCTAGGCTCGTAAATCAGAGACTGCTTGAAGTACAATCTCAGGTTGAAGAACTGCAGAAATCCTTACAGGAGCAAGGTTTAAAAACAGAAGATGTAAGTGGAAAAAGACAAAATCTTCTTGCAATCAGTTTATAATAATGCTGACTTTTCCAGTGTATGGTATTCCAACTCAGTCGACTTTAAATTTTTCAAAGCTTCGTTTGCTTTCACATGTAAAAATAAAATAATGTGATTCCCTGGTTCTAACTATTTTTAAATGGGAGCAGAGTTCCCACTTTCAGATAAGAAGCTTCCTGCTGGCAAGCCTAGTCAATATGGAACAACTGAGTTGATCATCTGTTTGGTGTGTCCACTGTACAGGACCACCATGTAAACACCAAATCATAGGTGGCTAACTTGTGGACCTCCAGGCATTGTAGAACTACAGTTTGCATCATCTGTGGCACAATGAGTCAGTGTGTCTGGCTGTTGACAAGACGTTTGTTGGTTCGAGCCCAACAAATATCCTGGTTGTGGGCAGGATATTCCTTCATTGCAGAGGGTTGGACTAGATGACCTTGGGGTCCCTTCCCACTCTGAGTCTTTGGAGTTGTGATTCAGCAGTAGCTGGAGGCCCACAGATTAGCAGCCCATGCTCCTAAAAGCATTCAACAAAGTGTGTCAGTTTTTTACTTTTCCTTGGATGTATATGCTGTACAACCCCAGCCACTTTTTAATGGGGAGGGAAAAAGATTTGCATTTTGTATCATTGTTAGGTGGGCTGCCATTCACCTCATCTAATTACTTCTGGTTGCTTTTGCATGTAGTCCTTACAGTGACCTCAGCCACCATCTTTTGAAAGTTTAGGTCAAGTTGATATTCGTGTATGTGTTTTATTTAAAGATGTCTCGTTGCAGCATTTGTGTTTTAATTAGAGCACCTATTCATATACTTGAAACGGGTTTGTGCTAGCTTTCCACAGCTCTCTAGAGGATGAGACAGGAGGAAGAGACCTTAGAGAGCAGAGAGAGAAGAAAATGTGCATGCTCTGAGAATGCCTTGCTTTAAATGTGTTCTCTTCAGAAAGATACTAAGTAGTTTATTCTGTTGGCTGCTGTTTGCTTCGTACTAATCTGTTGCCTCTGTCTCTCGGCACGGGTTTCTGCTGAAGGCTATTGTGAGTATGGCTTCCTATTTTCTTCAATCTGCTCTTAATCAGTCAATGCCAATTTGTGGCTCTATGTTTTTTCTTTTTAAGAGAAACTTAAATGGATAAAGTTTTCGTTCTTATTCATGTTATGTTTCACACTTTCTACGTGTTGTGCACCTGTGGCTTAGCAGAGCCTTAGGGGCATGCATCTCCCAAATATTTTTATGTGTGTTGTCGTCATGGCAATGCTTCAGCTGTGTTTGTTGCATGCTTCCTTCGACACAGGTGAAGAAGTTTGCAAGAACTGCTAACAACCACAATTTCAGTTATTACGGAATTTAATTTGTAGTTAATGCTTTTACACTATTTTCATGTAGGTGTTTCCGTGCAGGACTGAGCCACATTAAAATTCACATTGTTCTTATGACAAAAATCATGACATGATGGGCTGTAAATCCCTTGTTTCTTAAATAAAGGTAAAGGTACCCCTGCCCGTACGGGCCAGTCGTGACCGACTCTGGGGTTGTGCGCCCATCTCACTTAAGAGGCCAGGGGCCAGCGCTGTCCGGAGACACTTCCGGGTCACGTGGCCAGTGTGACGAAGCTGCTCTGGCGAGCCAGCACCAGCGCAGCACACGGAAACGCCGTTTACCTTCCCGCTATAAAGCGATACCTATTTATCTACTTGCACTTAAGGGTGCTTTCGAACTGCTAGGTGGGCAGGAGCTGGGACCGAAAGACGGGAACTCACCCCACCGCGGGGATTCGAACCACCGACCATGCGATCGGCAAGTCCTAGGCACTGAGGTTTTACCCACAGTGCCACCCGCATCCCGGTGTTTCTTAAATAGGGATGCCTTAATATTTTATAACATTCCTAAATGAACACACTTCTGTGTAGGAATTGGCATGAAACCCATGTATGACTCAACTGCACCTTCTGAAGGGGAGGGCATTGGAGATCATCACTGCTCTTTTGCAAATGTTGCACATGGCAATGTACATGTCGATTGCATGTACAAGATTTTTACATGAGACTTGCAATATGCTCATCCAAACCTAGCTATACCTTTTTGAACAATTTGGAAGTGGTTTTAACAAATTTATGTACTATGCATTCTTATATATTTAGAAAGCAAAACATTTCCATACTTGGTCAAGTTAGTGCATTTAGATCAACGGTGCACATATGCTATGAACCTTGTCTGAATAGGGCTACATTGCATGTATGTAGCAGCTATGTTTTTGGCTTGTGTGGCACCGGTTAACTCCCTCGACCTTATCTCATTTATTTTACAAAGTCGCGGAGGGTAGTAGCTGTCTGACAATTGACAAAATTGCTGCCAGAACAGAGCAGCCGCATACCCAGCCTGTAACATAGCATGCCCAATGCAACTGTGGGTCAGTTCATGCAGCAGGCACTAAATGAGACGATTCTGCCTGGCCATGCATACGGCTTGGAGGGTACCACTACTTTTCACTGACCTTCCGACAGCTTCAAGGATTCCATCATCTTTCGAGGTGGGAGAGTGAACAGGTAGCTGCTACAGATGGAATGGGTGGCGTAGGACCTTGCTTAGGGGCTGCTGTGTGAACTGGACTCGAAATGAATTTATCGATGCACATTACATTGTACATGAGCGGTACAAAGCAGAACAACCTTAATCTTTTTTTAAAAAGCATTTTGTTAAATTGTAAAAATGTTAGTTCCGCCCATAAAATACATCTATATGCTAATGTTGGCAACAAAACCCAGTGGTAATAATAATAATAATAATAATAATAATAATAATAATAATAATAATTTATTTATACCCCGCCCATCTGGCTGGGTTTCCCCAGCCACTCTGGGCGGCTTCCAACAAAACACTAAAATACAATAACCTATTAAACATTAAAAGCTTCCCTAAACAGGGCTGCCTTCAGATGTCTTCTAAAAGTCTGGTAGTTATTTTTCTCTTTGACATCTGGTGGGAGGGCGTTACACAGGGCGGGTGCCACTGCCGAAAAGGCCCTCTGCCTGGTTCCCTGTAACTTGGCTTCTCAAAACGAGGGAACCGCCAGAAGGCCCTCGGTGCTGGACCTCAGTGTCCGGGCAGAACGATGGGGGTGGAGATGCTCCTTCAGGTATACTGGGCCAAGGCCATTTAGGGCTTTAAAGGTCAGCACCAACACTTTGAATTGTGCTCGTGGTGCACTTTTGTCAGAGAAAAGTTACTTTTGGGGGGGAGGTGATATTTGATATAAGAACAGGTGGTCCTTAACCTTTCCCTGCTCCAATTCTCACCCCTCCCCTGGTGGGATTCCAGGTTTATATTTGTTTTTCCTTGCTTTCACATGTCTTGCACTGTGAGAAGAAATAAACTTAAGAGGGTCCAGCTGAAAAATATTAAGTAGCTGAGGCTGCCCATTTAGGCTTTGTTGCACACATTTGCTTTAACTTTTTGTTCTACCCTCAGTTTTCAAATCTATGCCACAATGAATGCTTCGAATAACACTTTTTTCCTTTTGTTTTTAGTCAGTCATTCTGAAAAAGAAGCTTGATGAACATCTGTAAGTAGTAAAATGTTTTCTACTACTTATGTAAGAACAGTAAAACAATTATTCTTATCCCAGGCAGCACAGTTAGGAGTGAACCAGCTGAAGATGGTTAATACCTTGAGCATTTAAAAGCTATTTTTAGATCCTAACCCTAAATATTTTTATTGAAAAGTTAGTACCACCAGTTCAGGGTACCTTGGGACTGTATTGTTAGCTTAATGAATTTTACCAATAGGGATCAGGTGGCATATATTTTGTTAAATTTGACAGAAGTTTTAGAGTGTTATTCTGAAATAGGAATTTTCCAGGGAAAAGCAGTTCAGCAACCGGTCATACTCTGGCTCTGTCTTTTTTAATAGTGAAAGGCTGCATGAAGCTAATAACGAGCTTCAGAAGAAGCGAGCTATCATTGAAGAGTTAGAGCCTCGATATAACAACAGTTGTAAGTAGTTTTATATTTTGCCTCGTAACTGAATTTTATTGTTATAATCGTAAAAACACTTCTTTCAAAACACAAATAAATTTAGGACTCTGCATTTGGTTTATTTACAACACAGCATTTAGTTGTTTTCAGCTAAATCATGATAATTGGCTCTTTTCTTCATTTAGTTAACACAGTTTTGTATGTTTGTAACTGGCACTCACTCTAAATGGCATTGAATAGTCTGGCATAGGTAGCCTCCATTTGTATTATATGCCACCACTATGTGGAGACAGGTAATCTTCTTTTAAAAAAAACAAACCACAGGTTGCAAGGCTGTCCCAAGACATTTTGCTGCCTGTAGCAAAACAGCAAATGACACCCCCTAACTCCCCCACCTCCCAAAAGAAATTGAGTCAAGGATCATGGTATGTAAGATTGCCCATATCATTTTGGCACCTGATGCAAAAAATCCCACAAACACCTCTCCCCGGGAGTATAAATAAATAAACAAAGAACATTTTGCTGCCCCTTAATTACACCTCAGATCTTCTGCTTGAGGTAGACACTGCGCTCTCCTTGCCATGAACATTCCCAATACATATGCCAGAATAAGGCTTGTCAACATCTTAATTTTGAGTACCCTGTCCAGTCTCGGAAATCCATTTGCACAACATCATTTAAATGGTGTACTAAACTCCCTAACAGCAGTTTAATCGCATATGGGTCCATGCAAATGAAACCCAAAGGAAGAGGAGAACACAAGGTTTGGTGTACTCTGCTGCCTTGTTTTCCTTTGCATCTCCATTGTTACACTGGATAGAGGGGTTAGGGTTAGGGGTAGGGTTACCTCCCTACCCAGTGTGTGTGTGTGTGTGTGTGTGTGTGTGTGTGTGTGTGTAGGTATAGAGAGAGAGAGCTGTCTGACTTGAACATCATGTTTATGTGCAATGGGGGGTGTTCTAGGGGGAGGGTGTGTTTACAAACCAGCAATCTTCCCTGTCAAAGGGATTGGATTTCCATTTTCAAATATTCTTAATAGCCCCATAAACACATCTGTCTTTTCAAACTTACTTTAAAAAGTGTTCCTATAAGCTGTCAGCAATATCTGAAATGTGACATCTTCTCCCAATAAAGCTCTCAAAATAGAAGAGTTGCAGGAAGCTTTGCGTAAAAAAGAAGAAGAAATGAAGCAAATGGAGGAAAGATACAAGAAATACTTGGAAAAGGCTAAAAGCGTGAGTATCTTCTGTTCTCCACCACGTTCCTTAGGGGGCTGAGACTTGTCCTCCCTCTGTAGCCTCACAAAATTATCAATAGGAATTAACAATATGCCAATACCAAGAACGAGTTAGATTGTGTTTTAAGATTTATTATTATTATTATTTTTAACTCTGCCAGCTCTGTGTATCTTGTTAAGGATCCATAGCGCAGTTGGCAGAATGCATATTTTGCATTCGGAAGGTTCGCAGGTTCTCTAGCATCTCAACCTAAAGGAGTTGGGACATAGGTGATGGGAGAGACATCTGTCTGTCTTGAGACCCTGCGGAGTCCCTTCCAAGGATAACAGACAATGCTAGGATAGATGGGGAAATAGTGTGACGCAGGAGTAGGCATTTTCCTGCGTTCTTACTTTGTACTGTATGGTTCTTGCCCCTTGCAGGTGATCCGTACTTTAGATCCCAAACAGAACCAAGGGTCGGCACCTGAGATTCAGGCACTGAAGAATCAGCTGCAAGAACGTGACAGAATGTTCCATTCTTTAGAGGTAACTTATGCTGGGTTAGCCTAAATTGTTTATCTTGAGTTTGACATTGGGCAGGATTCAACCAACAAGTCCCGCCAATGGAAGCCTGTACTTGCGCAATGGGGCTTCCCCCCCGCCCTCCGCCACCATGCCCTTCAAAATTTATTTGTTTCGGAAACTGAAAAGCTTGCACCGATGGAACGATTGCCATGGGGCTACATTGAATTTTGCCCACTGTATTTTTACTCGGTTGTATCCTACCCTGAAGGGACGCGGGTGGCGCTGTGGGTAAAAGCCTCAGCGCCTAGGGCTTGCTGATCGAAAGGTCGGCGGTTCGAATCCCCGCGGTGGGGTGCGCTCCCGTTGCTCGGTCCCAGCGCCTGCCAACCTAGCAGTTCGAAAGCACCCCCGGGTGCGAGTAGATAAATAGGGACTGCTTACTGGCGGGAAGGTAAACGGCGTTTCCGTGTGCTGCGCTGGCTCACCAGATGCAGCTTTGTCACGCTGGCCACGTGACCCGGAAGTGTCTCCTGGCCTCTTAAGTGAGATGGGCGCACAACCCCAGAGTCTGTCAAGACTGGCCTGTACGGGCAGGGGTACCTTTACCTTTACCTTTTATCCTACCCTGAGACCTTATTGCCAAGGGTGGGTAAGGCATCTGTAATGAATAGCAGTACAGTGGAACCTCGCTTTTCGAACGTAATCCATTCCGGAAGACCGTTCCACTTCCGAAACGTTCGAAAACTGAGGATCAATGGACGGTTGGCAAACTCCATTGAAAAAATGAGAAAACACGCAGCAGAAGCCATTCAAAAACAGAAGCAATTACTTCCAGGTTTTCGGCGTTTGGGTTCCGAATCGTTTGTCAACGGAGATGTTTGGGAACCGAGGTTCCACTGTAGTAGTAACTTGCAGATCAGTTCTATGTGTGTTTTCTCAGAAGCAAGTTCCACTGATTTTCCAGCTGGCTAATCCTCTTGCAAGAAAGCAATCCTGTCCCTCCCCTGATGCTGATGGATGAGGACAAGATTTGCATTGTGAGCAGCTGCCTCTTCATCACAGAGAGGAATATTGCCAGTCAGAGGGACTTCTCTGCATCAGAGGTCTCAGCTTTGCCCAGGCAGGCAGAAAGCCATCACTAGCAGATCTCCTTCCAGTGGTAGCAATTGGAGTGCCAAAAAATGGGGGTGCAATGCCTGCAGCTCTGGATCTGGCATAATGAACAATTACAAGAAGCTGCTTCCTCACACGCCCACCTCCACTCACAAACCTTTTGCCCTGGTTGGTGTGAGTGCCAGAGCTCCAGATGCAGCAGAAGATCTGCCACTTCACTCTTTCCTGGCCCCAAGTTAGGATTGCTCTATCCTTGTGGTTAGAATTGCTGCGCTGTTGGCAATTATATTGTGCTCCTGAATGTTCACTGTTGGGTTAAGTTTTCATCCTGGGCTCCTGATTTGAAGTAGCAGCCTGAATGTAAAAACAGGCAGCCGTGCACCATGTAAAAGTAAAAGGTAAAGGACCCCTGGACGGTTGAGTCCAGTCAAAGGCGACTATGGGGTTGCGGCTTTCAGGCCAAGGGAGCCAGCGTTTGTCCACAGACAGCTTTCCAGGCCATGTGGCCAGCATGACTAAACCACTTCTGGCACAACTGGGCACCGTGACGGAAACCAGAGAGCACAGAAACACTGTTTACCTTCCCGCCACAGTGGTACCTATTTTTCTACTTGCACTGGCGTGCTTTCGAACTGCTAGGTAGGCAGGAGCTGGGACAGAGCAACCCCGTTGCACCATGTAGTCACTAATTGAAAATGCTTTTTTATGATGGCTCTAATGACGTGAGGTGTCTGTGACCTCCAGCACAAGTTGCTACAACTAATGGGGAGTAAAATTCATGCACTTGGACCTGCAATGCTGCATAAATACCTTTAGCACGAATGCCAAATAATCAAAAGTTCTTGATAATGCTTTTCTTAATTAGAAAGAATACGAGAAAACGAAAACTCAAAGAGATATGGAGGAGAAATACCTTGTCAGTGCCTGGTACAATATGGTAAGTAGTCCAAAGTGAAAATAAACACTCAGTTATGACTTGTGTTTGTAATAGGTTTTCCTGAACAAGGATGACTCTCAAACTTCAGAGTGTTAAGTGCAGGGGCGTCGATTTGATTACCATAGAGATTTGTAGTTTGTGGTATGTTTTTACTCTTTGCTGCTTCAGGACCTCTGCTCCAGGCCTCAGGAGGAAGTTTGTGTGCTGTGATGCTGCAGGAAACAGGTGGGAGAGGGGTGGGAGAGCCCAGCATTGGTCCTAAGCCCCAAACATTCCTGGAAACTCTATAATGGAGGTACATGAGATAGTCTACTGTGGCTAAAGTCACTTTTCACACGAAAAGCCTACCTTCTTTCAGGGTTTTTTTAAATCCATATTTGATTTTTAAAATGCCACCTAAATACTACTTTTCACCCCTCCTTCTGATTAGTAGATCAGTTGCAGGTGTAAGCTAGAGGAATTTTTTAAATACTTTCCGTAGCATGACTCATCCTTCTGTGGCTTCTGTATCCAGGCCTATTTCTTTCAGCTGTCTCATTATAATTGTCAAACATAGTTCAAAAACCCTTCTAAATGGCTGGCTGATTTTGCCTGAAACAGCAGGGTACAAAATCTAGCTTCCTGAGAATCTCGGCTTTTGTTTTTTTAAAAGAGCTTTTTTTCTATATTTCTTGGCTCTGAAGATGCACCTGAAAGTACATCAGCTATGAGCCTAATAAAATTTCAGAGGCCTCAATAAGATTTCCGGTCATTATAGGGTAAGGTGTATGTGCTATACATACTTTCATGTATGTACATATAGATGTATAAAACCACCTCCTGCTTTGCACGCAAAAAGGACAGACACATGCATAAATACACATTTGCTGCCCCATCATGTCCAGCTTAGCTGTTGGATGGGAAAAGGCAAATTTCTGTGAGATATAAACAAGTATTCAGCAACACACAGCAAAGCTAAGGTGGAAAGCTGTTGAAAAAATGGTGTTCACGGTGGCCCTGTGCTGTGTTACGTGCCTTTTATGAGCATCTGCCTTCTCCAAAGTCCGTTTTCTCTCTACAGGCCAGGAAGTGAGGCTTGCAAGTATTCCTACCCTAATCAGAAAGCAATCATGGAAATAAAGGGTGGCAGGTTCCTACTGTCATAGCCTCCATAATTCAAGAATCATGATCCATTTGTCAAGCAGTGTGAAAGGAAAGGTTTTGATAACCTTAAAGCTGGCTCTAGGGGCATGTTTTTGTCTTCCTCCAGGAGTTACCCATACGCAGGGGTTGGTCAGCAAGCGTCGGCTCTGTGGAAGCTTTGCACCTGTACACAGGAAGCAACCTCGTCACAGACATGCCACTATAGTTGCCATACCTCTGAAGTTTAGTTGTTCACCACTGCCGTTGGAGAATTGATAGAGGTCATGCATGCTGGTGCAGTGTGACTAAGATTGTCACCTGGGAAGTTGCCAGTTCATCTCATCCCTGACATGAATTCATTAGATGGCCTTAAGCAAACTACTCTCTCTTGGCCAGAACTCTCAAAACGTGCAATGGAAATGCTAAATTTGATGATGAACATTTGGGTTTTACTATGGACTCTTGGCTCCCTGCCCCAAATCTGGGTGGCCCTGTTTGGGAAAGGGACGGTCCAGCGCAGCCAACACTTAGAGCAAACTTAATGTATGTTTTAGTTATTACCTCTTTCATAATATTGGAACCCAGGGTTATCGATGAAGCTGATCCATGGCAGAACCAGGACAGACCAAGGAATTACTGCTTTGCACAGCACATGGTTCGATTATGGAATTTGCTACCACAATTTATAGTGATGGCCACCAACATGGACACCTTTAAAAGGGGATTCGACAAATTCATGAAGGATAAAGCTATCAATAATTACCAGTCATGTTAGTTTCATTAGTTCCAGTATCAGAAGCGCTGTTTCCCTGAGTACTGGTTGATGAGGAGCATGAATGGGAGTTTGCTGTTACACTCATGTCCTCATAGTGGGCTTCCCATGGCCATCTGGCTGGTTACTGTGAGAGTAGAATGCTAGATAGGAGGGGCCTTTGATATTATCCAGCAAGGCTGCTCTTATATCTACCTGCCTTTTGTCTTCCTAGGGTATGGCTCTTCATAAAAAAGCAGCAGAAGACAGACTTGCTACCACAGGTTCAGGACAGTCCTTCCTGGCTAGACAAAGGCAAGCCACCAGCACAAGAAGAGCCTATCCTGGCCATGTCCAGCCAGCGACAGCAAGGTAGAAGGCGGCCCTGCCTTTTGAATGGAAGCCATCCTGGGATCAAGGCCTACTTCTGTTACGAGTGACAGCATTTCAGGAAACTTTAGCCAGCATCCTTTCTGTATCTTTGTTCCTTGCGGTTGCTATTAACTTCTCATTTCAGGAAGGTGGTTGGTTTTTTTTCTTTTTTAAGAAAACACTTTCTCAATGTTTTTAGTCTTACTTTCGGGAGCCTTCCCTTTGTCTTTTGATGTGCCAAAATGTTGGAAAACACCTAGTGGAATGTAATAACGGAGTCTCCCCCTCTCTTCCCCTTGTTTATATGGAATTGTCCTGTCTCACCTGAAAGCTGATGATGGCTAAGTAGCAAACCGAAAATGTCCCGTTGGCAAATGATGTTGCCATCCTTTCCAAGGCTACCATTGTATAAAGGGAATTACCTTTTCTTTCTCAATCCAGTCTGATCTGTTTAAATTATGTGATGGAATTTGCAATGGTGTTGCATAGAATTGTTATGAAATGTGTTAGCAGCAATAGTCAGATGCTGGCAGAAGCTGTAACCTGGCTGCAAGTACCTGATCGCGTGTGTTCATGTCCTTCTATTTATCCTCCTCTTGGCTTTAATTTGGAGAGGCAAGCTGATTTTTGTCCTTATTTGTCCATGTTCTTTTTTCCCCTTTTAGCATCACTAAGGTTTAAAAATGATTTGATGTTCCTGTTCCATTCTTGGTTAGTTCAATCACAGTGGAATATGGCAACCATTCATTGCATGGCCAATTGCTTTAAAGCTTCCCTCTCTGCACTCTAACCAAGTGGAGCACCCATCCTTTTCATTGCCGTGTTATCGCAGTTCTCCACCTGCTTGGAAATCCTAGGAGATGGGACCATAGTAGTATTCTACTTACTGTGTGCCTTGATCCTACAGATGCCTAGTATTCTACATGGTTAAACCATCATGGAGAAATTTTATGAAGCAGTGTAGAACAGTGCCCTCCTGGTCCCCCAGATATCATTTGACTCAAACTCCTGAGTCCCAGGCAGCGTGATCAGGCATGATGGGAATTGTAGTTCCAAAACTTTCCCATTCCTGGTGTATTAGGGTTGATTTTGATTGGATGTCTTTGGTGGAGGCTGTCTTCAAATTGCCAGCTACCACTGAGGACTATTTTTAATAGGTCAATAAAGGAGGGAGAGTCCATTCATTGCCTTACAGGTGGTACCATTGCCTTCAGGCTTGGTGATTCTGACATGAAAACTCGCTGTCCTTTTGTGCCAAATCTTCATACATGCCTGTACTGTTAATGGGTCTTTGTCATGAAGGAAGGCTACCAATTCCCCTTCAGATTTTGATCCTTCCAAGTATCGCGTTCTAGATGTTGAGCCACTTGCACCCTTTTCAAATTAATGTGTGAGACGTTTGGGGTTGCTCAAGACGAGTAGTTCCATATGGATCCGCCGTGGAAGTAGTTTAGAGGTTTTGTTGGAAAACTTCACCTTAAAATAAAAATCAGTGTGTCTAACGTTCAGCAGAGAACAGCTTTTGTTGTGTATCCTTCCAAATGTAGATCATAGTGACCTTTTCCTTTCGAGGAGGGGAAAGGAATCAGAGATGGCTTTAACTTGGAAGTCCACCTGGTTTTTATGGTCACATTTTCAGTATAAAATGTTTTTCTTCTCATCCTCATTTTGTGCGAGAAAGCACAGCACATCTTAATTTTAAAAAAGGAATTTTGCCTTTATTCAGCACCACCCTAGTACATAAAAGGAGTTCTTAAAGTTCAGTAATGTGTAGAATAGTAATTAAAAGGCAGGGTGTGGCTGTTAGCCCTTTGTAGTATGGTTTCAATGTTAGATGAAGTAAGCCAGGTATTTCCCTCAGTAGGCATAAAAGTAAATAAAAAAATCCTTCACAGGATCATTCACTTGGTAATCTGCCTTTTTTCTGCAATGGTGAATTTGAAGCTGGAGACAAAATATGGGAGGTATCTATGCATAGTTTTCAATTGCACTTACAAGCAAAGGTGTTAGATTGGCATCCTGTCTGTTTTTGCTGGTGGCAAGTAGTGTACTAGAAGCAAAAGAGCAGTGATTAGTATTGAGTTAACCAGTTTTAGAGTAATGCATATTATTACACTTGCTATTCCGGGTCAGATAACATCTCCAGCAGTCTTAATTTTGCCAGCTGAATGCTTCTGTAGGCAAAAACTTCTTATTCTGTTGGGAGTGGCAGGAGAGAGTTTTTTTTCTTTTCCGCAGGCTGTTGTGCATCTGATAGAACTATTCCTGTTTGTTCTGTGCCTGAAAGAAAAGTTGAAGACAACTTTAATTTTACAATTGAACCCGCATCTTTTTCTTTTTCTACTTTTGATTTCCGTTCTTGCTTTCCTTTCTCTCTTAGCTGGCGCTGGGGTTTTGCCTGTCTTCCACAGCATATTTTTGTTTCATTTTTCATCTAGCATGAAAGCAAAAGCAACTTCTTTCTCCACTTTGGCTGCCATATTTCTTGTTTGCATTGAAGTGGGAGGCAGGCTTATTATCAGTATTCTGAAATGTCAAGAAGCCTTCATTAAAAACACAATTAAATTTTACTTTGACGCATTGAGAACCGAATATACATTCTTGTCGATCATTAAAAACCAAGGAAAGCAACAGCCGAGGACGAAATTCCCAGAACGACAGTTGCACTTAATTCCTGTTGAAATGAATAAAGACAGTTGTGGTTAAATTAAGTGTCTCTAATTTCTAGAGGACTTCAGTGCAACTGGCTTTCTATATATCAGGGTCATTGTGTCTTGCTGCTGTCTGCTGATTTTGTGGCAAAGACAGAAATAAAAGGCTTGTTTCTAAAATATTTATATTGGCTGGAATGGAAACAATTCATAAACCAAGCAAGTCTGTTAATTTTTTATAAACATGTTCACTGGATTTTCCTCGGATAGAGCAGCAGTAATGTTGGCTTGTACTTCCTTATTCGAGAAGTATGTGTTCTAACGATGGATAAAATTGGGGTAGGCAAATGGAATGGAGTTCATATTTTTCTAAAAGAAACATTTAGCAGTGTGGGCATTACCAGGCTTGTATTTAAATGTATCCCTCCAAGTAGATTGTCTTCAGGCAGTGAAGGCTAGGGAGGCGGAGAGGGCTGCTGTAAGATGAGTTGGCTTGATGCAAGAAAACACACACCCTACAGTTGTGTGGGTTGTAGCTTTTGCTTGTATGATTTTTAACTTAAAAATTAGGCAATGTTCCCTCTTGTATTCCAAAAATTTCCTTTTCATGTTTGTATTTTTCTCCAAATTGAGGACATTGGTAGATTTTATCTGTCCCTTGCATTCTTCCTGTCGAATTAGGTCTTTCATCAGTTACAATATTCAGTTGCAGTTGAGTACTGGAAAGTGAAGGGGCCCTCTGAAAGGTGTATCAGATTATTTTTATGGCTTGCAAACAGATCAGATATGCGGCATTTCTGACGGTGTCTCCTAGTAAGTCATAACTGGGAGGTTTAAAGAGAGAAAAACCTTCAGTCTCCCAGCCATTAAAACAGATGATACTGGAGGAACATAATTCTCTTTGGGTTAGCTGTGTGCGCACACCCCACCCATAGGGTAATGTCTGACAAAATTCTTTGTGTGAATCACTGCATGCAAGCAGGATCAGGAACTGCACCTCCACCTTGCAAAGAGACAGGTAAATGTGGAACTCATCCCTGGGACACCTTTTTTTAAGAAAAAAGAAAGGGACATTATTCCTGAATGGGAGTGCTCATTTTCAGACTGATACACATTTGAACCTGCCTTTATCCTGTAATGAACTTCAGGTTACAGGTCTCTTAACACAATAGCCCCAGTCCACTCCCACATACAGGGGAAGTCTGAAGATGTGTTTGTGGCTTGAAGACAGACTAGAACTATCCTCCCATACTGGTTCTGTGTTGGATGCTGGAAGTCTGGGTTGGTGAATGGTTCAGGCGGAACCAATAATAAAAAAAGCATCATCTGAAATGGACACTCATCTACGAAAGCTTATGCCATAATATATCTCTTAGTATTTAAGGTGCTACAAGACACTTAGTTGTGTTTACTGCCAGCAAACTGACACTGGTTGCTCTTTTCAAAACACTTGTCAGTTTGGGTTGAATTTTTTATAAAACTACGTGGATAAAACCCCAGCCAGAGTTAGGAGAAAAGACGTCAACCTCAATGTCAGAGAAACCTTGACGTTTCTGCATTGGAAGCAATTCTGAGTTTTTAAGATGTACAAAATATCTTTTAGTATATTAAAAACCAACTTCTACATGCTCTCAACAATGGGGTTTTTTTTTGGGGGGGGGGAGCATATGGTCAGGATCTCCTCCAGTCAACCAGTCAGGAAAGTTTTAAATTGCAAGAGCAATTTATTTTCTTTTTCTTTCAGCACATGGACATCCTATCTGATATAGGGGTACATAGGTAGTCAACTGGTAAAATCTTATGTGGATTTATTAGCAAATGAGCTTTCAACGCTTAATACCGTAGCTTATGTTTTATGAACCATTTCCTTGTCACAGCAATGTTGCAGTGTGTAAGTCCATAAACTATACATATTTGCTAAACTTCTTAAAATGTCTCTAAACAGGGTAGTCATCTTTTTTACGTCTTTTAAAAAAATACATTTCGACAGCAATTAAATATTTGCTGCTTCTACGCCTCCCTTTTTATTTTGGATATATGCGATGATATGTGGCTGCTTAACCTGCTGCACTGTTTATCAAACAGGGGCTCTTTGGTCTACACCATCTCTCTTTTTATCTCCTGTTCAGTCAACATAAGCAAAACCTCTCATTTTAAAGGTCTTGGCACCTTTTTATCCAATGCAAAAAGTTGCTTGCAAAGATGCTTATCTCCGTGTGTGCGTACGATTTTACCACTTATCCCATTGCCCAAACAATTTAAGTAAAGCCACAATGTTCTATTCTCGCAAGCACACAAAATCGAAAGATTAAAAACTTGAACCTACGACAGTTATTCTAAGTCTAAAATGGGTGTTGGGTAAGGTGGTGAGCAGTCCTGTAGCACTTCGTATGCGGGGATTGAGAGCGAGCCGATTGCCTGCTGCCTACTTATTCTTGCCTGTTAACAGTGAATGAAGCGAGTGCAAGACTATTGGCAACTTCCTTCCATTTACTAAGCAACATTTAATCTTATTAATGGTGAATTTTATAAATGCACCTTGTTTACTCTATTATTTAAAAAGTGCACTAAGGAAGCCATGTTGTTCAATACTATTATACATACATAAGATATTATATATATATATATATATTATATTATATATACTTTTTTTTAAATACCAGCAAAGTCCAGAAGACGTTTCCTTTGTGAGAAAGCAGATAGGAAGTCGGTACCTGACCTCTTCCCAGGTTTTTTATTTGAAACTCCGAGGCTTGACATATATGCAATATTTTATTTATTGATGTTGCACTCCCTGTCTTAATGTGTATATATCCTTTCTTGCTTTCCCCCCTCGCCCACTGCGGACTTGTACATTTCCTTTTAAAGGCTTCTTTTCCCATCTGTGCAGATGTGTACAAGCAGCTCCAGAAAGGAACATCAGTGGAGATCACAAATATCAAAGAAGCATACTCTTCCTTGGTTTCAGTATTATACGTGACATGGCCTTTCTGGATTACATTTAGGGTTGTCTGTATTTATCTTATGTTCTCTCTTCCTCATACCCGCGTTAACTTCCTTTCAGATTGCACTAATGTCTTTCTTTACGTTATGAATTATTGCTATCATACATGCGACACATGTACATTATGTTGACAGTGTAACTTGGAATGCTTTGTGCTGCCTTTAAACTATTTTTAAAGCTGCTTTTTTTTTAAAAAAAGGAAAAGGTTATACTCTTTTAAGCACACGCTTGTGCTGCTCTAGATTCTGTTTTGTATTAAAGCAGACCTAGGAAATGCAGCAGTGTGATAGAAAACCCGAGGAAAGATTGCTTTGTGGCTGCGTTAGTATCTTACTGTTACGTTAGCCGTCCTGCGGGATGGTGAATGATCCTTCCAAGCCTCTGGTCAGCAACCATTTTTATAGGAGGGCTGCTTTGAGGATGGAATAGAAATTGGCAGGACAGCTCTCGATCCCTGTGCTTCCAAAATGCCAGCAAGTCCCATTGGCAGGGCTATCACATCCACTCTGCATGCCTCTCGGTTGACAGCTGGCCTTCATCCTGGGACCGCTCAAGGGGACAGACTTGGCCTCAAGGCGTGCAGCTGCTGGTCTCTGCTTTTAAGCCATAGGAATTGTCTACACAGTCAAGTGAAAAAAGAAACTCTTAATAAGCGCTGTATGGTTTGATTAGCAGGCCTTTTCTAGCACAGCCTTACACTTTTAGTCCTGGTGTCACCTGCTTAAACAGAGAAGACTGTGTTCTGCAGAACCAAAGCCTCTCTCTCTGTTGTGAGCATGCAGAGGGGGATTAAATTGAGGACAAGTTATTTGATCCAAGACTTTTCCTCTTGCTGAGCACCAGCAACTTCTAAACAGTCTCCCCCCCCCCCCCGAATGTTGGTTGTGCTCTGAATTTGATGATTCAAGGACGTAGTTTAGGTGGAAATAAACTAATTGATCAGTTCCACAGTAGCAGAGCAGCTCAGTGAAAATGTGCAGCTCTCCCAAGCTACCTCCAAGATAGGCGTGGTGGCAAAAGTTCTCTCCATTGTTGGCTCTCACCCCAACTTGAGTAAGGAATGTGTGCGCCAGGGGAGGGGGAAGATTGAGGTCCAGTTTGAATCCTGGTTCCCTTTCAGGCTCAGATTGAATGTCAAGGATGATGAGGCCTGCATGTCACTCACCATTGCCCACTTGGATGTGGGTATCTCGGACATCGAGAAGCTGGGTTGCTGTTGGCTTAGGATTGAATTAGGCAGATGTGTAGGACCCGGTAGTAGGAATTTGATGTTCAACGTTTGAATGTAAGACTTGCCGGATACTTTAATAGACAAGTGCTATGTAAGTTCCGAACTCCTTGCAGTTTGAGGGGGAGATGTCCGCTGCCTTCATTATTCCAATACCTAATCATGAGACATCAATATCCTCTCCTACCTTTTCTTCTCTTGCACAAACTTTTGAGTTAACTGGTTTGCAAGGAATTGCCTTGTAGTTGGTCTGGTGTGGTTGCTTTTGGAGTCTTCTTGTTTTGTGTTTGCTGCTGCTCTTAACATACATGGCTTGAGGTCAGGGGCTTTTTTGTATCTTGTGTCTTTTTTTTCTCTCCTTGCCTACTAAAACATGTCAGACCACTAGCTGGAGTCATAGAGGAATGTGAGATTAAAGTATAAACTCCAATAGGCACTTTTGGCTGTCTATTTGAAACGGTTTGGGTTTGTGCAACTGCAACTTTCTGAGATCCTAAGCATGTTTTAAACATATCGGTTACTGTGTGTTATGTAGTTTTCACGTTCTCTCTCTCCCCCCCCCTTTGTCCATTTTTCAATAGCAACTTGACTGTCCTGATCTAGATGTTGACTGGTTACCAAAATTACTGTTTATGAAACTGCCGGTGATACCCCCCCCCCCCCCGTAAGAGTGCAAACTCCTCCAACCACCAAATATTAATTCTCTCCCCACCTATGAATCTTACCCTGTATCTACCATCTTGCCATGGTAGAGGTTTTAGTATGAATGTGTGTAAAGACAAAGTAATATGGTCAGGTGTTCAAAGCACCCTCCCCTTCCCCATTCAAATAATAATGCTTCCAAGGCTACAAAACCAGTGTACAGTTGTTAAACAAGTTGTAAATAAAGGCTTATATAAAACTTGGTGCTGCTTTTTATTACATGAAGCAATTGTTATTTATCATACACATATCTCGGCATTTCTCTGGAAAACTCAGGTTGTTGCGCCCGGTCTTTTCCATTTTATCCTCAAAATAGTTCTGTGAGGGTCAAGACAATTCACCACTAAGAAAAGAGGGGCTATTTGATATGATGTATCCATGTTGACAATTGGAGTTTGAACATGTTTAATAGTGCTGCACACTCAGTTTAAGGCAGTGTAATTATAGGTAACAGTGAGACAATCAAAGTTATCAACCTAGAACCGTGATAGAGGGGAGAAAATCTTATTGCACAGAAGAAATGTATTCCAAAGGAAAGAGAACCAAATGTCAATCAACATGCTACCCTAGCCCCAAAATGCATCAAACCCCCAATTTGGAAGGGGGGGGATTTGTCTGAGGAAGTTGCAACATCACACTTATTTACGTTACTCATTTATTTTACTGCTGTTTTTTTCACCGTTTTGAAAATGCCTTTTATAGCAAAAGTTTCATTATCTTGGTTTGGTTACCAACTTCCTCTAATACAGGTTTTGCAGAACTCTTCACCACCACCACAAATAGTCTATTAGCACTGCCCCAAGAGCTGTCTTGGGATGAGTGAAGAGATGTAGCTGGGTTGGGTGGTAACAGCTTTATGTTGCTTTGAGCAAGCAGGCTATAGGCCATTTTCATCTACGCAGATGGTGGAGGTACTTGTAATTTGCATTGTGTGAAGACATCCTCGAAGGCAGTGATAAACTTCATAAAATAGGCAAGATTATAGACTTCTCTTTACTATCTCATTCTCAAAAAAAGCCTAACCAAAAGTTAGCAACGTGTCAGATGGGCTTGAACTTAGTTGGTGTTGAAAGAGAAGTATGGAGTATGTCAAAATACTAAGCAAG